TAGGAATAAAATAAAATGCCCAACACACTATTCAATAATTCATAACCATTCACACTACTTCCGGTTGATTGTTTACAGTTTTCCCTCTTTTTCATATTTGTCAGTAATATTTTAGACATCTACTGCGGTAGTGGACAGAACAAATATGTATATAGTAGATACATATGAATTTATGCGCTAATAAACACATACATATGTACATGTGTTTGTACAGTAGCGGTAAAATCTGTTGTAAGTAAACTGTGGTATATTCCACGCCTAAAACTAATCATTTGCATACTAGTGACTAATACGCAATACGCCGCAATACGCCACCGCCTTGACATTTCAAAACTCGTGACGGGAGTGTGTTTGGGAGTACAGAATTTTACTTGTTGTACTTTTAGCTTAGATAACAATGCGTAGAGAAAGCGGTGGGCTATCATATAAGGAACATGTGTTTAATATACAAAATTTGGTAATTGGCAATTATTCGGAAGTACAATGGTCCCGCCATAACCATTACCGTATTTAATGCAAAAGAACCGTTTCGTTCAAATACTTTTATATCTACATATTTACATACATACATATGTATAAATGTATGTATGACACACAATTTAATAAGTATCTACCACGACGATACTTTCCAATAATTGACCTTCACTTGGTTCTTAAACGCCAAAAAGTATATAAGCAAAAGAAAAGATTGACTAAATTAACCGGCAGTAGAATCAACGCACAAAAACAGGAAAAAAAAGAGCACAACCGGCGTATAAATAAAAAATAAAAAAAAAATTACCAAAGTACATACATATAATGTACAACAATTTATCTATAACTATTGTATTATGTCCAAGAGTATATGTACATATAGGAAAACAAATTTATATTTCTACATATATAAATGTGTGTACGTGCACATTAGAGTCGCCAAGCAGATGCCACACGGCGAGTTCATGCGTTTGAACTCGGCAAATGAATAGTCCAACGCCAAACATTTGCTTGAACGTTCATTGACCAACATATAATTTGTATGTGGGTATGTATGTATGTAAGTATGTATTGATTATATGGCAACAATGGGTAAACGGCGGATAGCTAATACCAAAGCCTCAATCAATCCGAGTGTGACTATTAAGTGACGCAGCAAAAGATGAAACAATAAAAAATATTTTTTGCTACTATACATATAAATCTGTTTGTATTTTCTTTATAGTGCCGCGTGTTTGGGTAGGGATTTTCGTAAAATTAGAGATAAAAGCTCAACTTTTATATTTTCATTTATTAACTTTTACCATATTAACGGTATTATTTTCTTAATAAAATAAAAACTTCACAAAACTAATAGAAATATTTTGGTAAAAATGAAACAGTTGAAGATATGGTACCAAGCTAAATTAAGTTATTGTCTTCTTATTAAAGGAAGTTGCCATTCAAATTCTCTTTATGATATTTATTTTCTTTTTTTTTCTTAATTATAATTTTTTTACGCTCGCTAAACTTGAGGAGTGAAGCGTTAAACGGAAGGGATACGAAAAGTGTGATCGAACGAGGCGAACGGAAGTTGGTAAAGATAGAAAGATATGGTTATAAATATTATATATATATACCTTATCGAAGACGCTCTGTAGAGTTGGTAAAAATTATGATCTTCGTCGGTCATTTCAGAATAAAGTCTCTGCTTTAACTGATACATTCGTTGATTCAGCTGGAGTCATGAGCCCTCTAATGGCACTTTTCTTGAGTATGACAAAGTTTGAAGACGATACTACACCAGCAAAAGCAATTTGGTCTCTTTTAAAACTTTCTAGTATCATTCTATACTGTTTCGATAGCTCTCCTAGTAATGCAAGTAAAACTAGCTGTCATCGGACCAGAGAATTTAAATTCGAGTGGAAGCAGTATAAGTGATCTCAATTTAGCAGAAGTTGCAGCTCGTCGTAAAACGTCAATTTCAAGGAGTATATGTATGTGCTTGTACGTTTGATGTAGCATTTTGCTGAACTTCTTTTATATTGAATTCTTTTAAACGAAAAATAGTAGTAAATACGTCCAAAGACTTTCATCGAGTTCTGTGTAGGCCTAATCTTTTCGATTCATCAATTCAAGTAGTTTTATATGTATGTGCATGCGTCCATATGCACCTGCAATATTTTTCGAACGCTCAGGTGACGGTTAGCAAAATAAACGCCAAGTATACGCCAAAAATAATAAATATAAATATGTATGTATGTAAGTTTCCCAACAGGCAACTACCTCATGAGAACACACGTTTATTTTCAAAAATATGATCGTTTCTTTACCACTTCTGTAATCACAACGAGCAGTCAAAGTCAATGAATTTCGTATTTTTTTATTTTTAACAATTTTAATTCACACATGATGACAGCTCGATTTAAATTAAAATTTAAGTTATTTACATTTATCTATGGGTACACCAAAAACTTACCAATTTCTTCATATCTACATAGACAAATTCCAATGAATATTAATAATATTAATCAAATAGTCTGTCATGCAAATTTTTTCAACAATAACCAATAACCATGCATATACATACATACGAGTAACTGACAAAAGATTATTTTTCAAGTGCAACTTATGTTATTGCCAAAGTTCTTATAATTCAGCGTCAACCGCAATAGCCGAGAAAAAAGCGTAATAAGAAGGCAATTTGTTTATTAATGTAAGTGATCGCATTACTGATTTGTATGCACATATGTATATAAAAGAAAATAAGAATGTATTGGCGTAAATAATGTTGATTATATTCTATATAAATTATTATATTTTGTCTGTATTATACATATGTACATTTACTTCAATTGCAAAATGAGCCTTTGTGTTGTGTCTTTATTACTATTTAAAGGAAATAAAAGAAAACGGCTGATGCCTGCAAGACTATTCACCGTATTGCAATGGATCATCATGTCTTATCAATGCCATAGAAATTTCCATAATTGCTTATAAATCCTTTAATGTAGATACGCATCGCTTATTCTTCAAAGATACTTAACTGCACGCACATGCATACATGCATATCGAGTAATATGCGTGGATTAACATAACATACAGATATATGTATATGTAGTAGGTTCCTAAAAGTTTGTTTTATTTATTAATATTTATCTACTGCCAAAATTTCAATTTCCGATAAAATTTTTCAAATAGTAGTCGCTTTAAATCTACTGATCAGATAAAATGAGATAAGATAACAAGTAAAGACAACTTTAAACTAATTAAACTGACCTAAGTAGACACAGCGGATACCACAGATACATATGTACATACTCATAACTAGTAAAAAGTGTCTATAGACATATTAAAAACTTTTTTATAAGACATATTGAATATATTTAAGCACAAACTTGTACTTGATTAGGATTGAATTCAAGTAAATCCTCTTGGCACACATAATACATGCAAATATATGTACTTATGCATGTATGTACATATATATCATAAAGGAAGTTATTTCGAGAACGCCCTTTTTACAATGGATTTGTAAGAACTGGTTACGTTAATATTTGCAAATTTTTGCGAAGCATGTGTTAGTAGCTTCATTTATGTATAGAGTTCTTATAAAAATATCCAACTAAAGTTAGTTATGTAGAAAGACCAAAACACTTGCAAGGATTTAAATTACCTATAACTTTCAACAAAAAAAAAAAAGGCTGAGCTTTGATATGCAGCCCCACTTGATATTGTAAGCAAACAACCAGGAATTTCGACATGAAACTTCGTAGGAATGATGACAGAAATATATTTTTCCAATATTTTAACTTTTGGAATTTGAATATATTAAAGTTTATAAGTTATTTGTTGTTATAAAGTGTTAACTTTATTCCATTATTTCTTTATGAATCGGTCACNGAGTGGCTACGCCTGCCTAGCCAAAATACAAACACACAAGCTCTGTACTTAAGTATTATTTTACTTAGTAGTCCGGCAACTCCAATGTAGACGTAATTTTGCATTTATTACTCGAAATTTAAAATAGAATTATTAAAAAACTATAAGTCAGCTAAATAAAAGAAAATTAGTTTTAGAATCTATGATTTTTCCTCTTTCCATCCATATAAAATTTATTTGCGAAAGCCTGTGGCTCTAAACAAAAATTTTACCAAAAAAAATAATAAACATTTATTAAGATACATTAACATTTATATATACATATATACAAATTACTTGTACTCATCTAGCTATTTCAACACTATCTCCTGAATATATATATATATATATATATAAGAATCATGTAAATATCAAGAAAACACAAACAAAAAGGACCAAATAGGAATTGATGATTGAACGAATAAACGATAAGGAGCGAGTAGAAGTAACGAAAACTCCGCATATGGATAAAACGAACGAGTAAAAATATATACACGAAGTATCAAGGCGAAGGCGGCAGCGATGGACGACTACAAATAAGAGTGCAATACACCAGCAATAATAATAACAACAACAACAACAACAACAACAACAAAGCCACACAAGCCAACTTGCTACTATACCGGCGCCTGCGACTTCGCCTTTGGCGACGACGCGACCGCAACATTGGCAGAGCTGCGGAAGGCACACCCAAATTGAACACATTTCACAGCTCTTTAAAACGACAATGAACGACAGGAATCAAGGAGGGGTGAAGGCGACTTTTTACACGGCCGACCGTCGACAATCAACTTTGTCGTGTTGTATTTCTAGTAGTGCCGTGATACTTAGCAATGTTCCGGTTATAACTACATACATATTTGATATACATGCAATTTATTTTACATTTTGCTATGAATACAAATTTTTAAACAAAGAAAATTTATTTACTCCAAAAGTGCAATTACAATGTAATTGTGCGTCACTAATACTTAATATATTTTCTTTAATAACACATATCGTTATACAGAATTTTCATTAACTCTCATACACAACTACTCCTTTTTCCGAACTTCACTTTTCATTCCATTCTTCATATAAGCAAATTTTCAAACTTCCAACTCTGCAAATGAAAATTTTTTAATTACCTGCTCCTTTTAGATTATATTAAACTTAATTCTATTCTCGGCGTCTTTATAATTTTATCACTTTTAACCCGAATTTCGAAACAACTTCCAAAAAAAAACTTTCTTTTCTATATTCCTTTTTTTCACACTTCACAGTGTTTCAAACAAAAATGTCTGCTTATTTCGACCGTAACTGAAGAATTGAAACGCTTTGCCTGATCCAAAGGCGGTGCATACAATGCGACGACAAAGACGCTATTAGGTGTTGCCGGACAATGTTGAAAACTACACACCAGTGCGAGATGCAATTTTATTTAAAGATGCTTTTTAGAAAGTAAATAAATTTTACACTAAAATTCCTAAACTTAATTAATTTTATCTAAAATAATTTAAAATTCGCTGTTCTTTCTTTTTAGCTTGACAATAATACAGTTGTGTATTTATTTAAAGCCGTTTTGAAAATGTACTTTAACTACCAAAAGGTGGCAGCATGTTTGAGGTGCGACAAAACGACACCGCCTTTCCATTGCCGAAAAAAACTTCGAACTCGATATCCAACCGCGTCACAGTGTTGCATTCCTTTCATGGCTGCCAATCATCACCAGTTAATACTTAAGTTTTTAAGTTTTTTTAGATTCCAAGTGTATCTTCAATAACATATACAAATTTCTCAACTCAATAACATAGCACTAATTCTCAGGTACTAAAACAATTCAAATATAACTGAATAAATTCTAAGTAATAATTGCTGAGGTTCATAATCCTCAATCAGCATTTTAAACTAAAAATTAAGGGCAAATCCTCAAGATGTCGGCATGACCATAACAATCCGCAATTATTTTATAAAATTGCGTAGTTCCTCCTTCGTTTTAAATAGAATTTAAATAAAATAAATTTTTCTCAAATAATTTAACGTAAATTTTTTATATATAAATTTAATTTTTCATTTATTTATATTCACTTCTTTCATAATTTGTAATAATATAAATTGTTCTTAGCTTATTTAGCATAGACTTTTTTAGTTTAAACTTTTCGTAAAACTGGTTCAGATTTTTTTAATTTTCTTATTTCATGATTTGTACGTCTCTACGTGTTAAAATTTAATGGCCTCGAACATTAAAATTTACATACAATTTTGTTGTACTTTTACTTACGGAGACCCTGAAAAAAACTTAAGCGGTCACTTAATCGAAAGTTTTCTCTTTTGGTGTTATGCGTCCAACTTGCTTTCGCATCATTCGCAAAGGAAGTTGTATGGGTGAGAACGAGAATTATTTTTTAAGAATGTTTTGCTTTAGTTTTCCAAATCAGTTTTTGTAGTTTTTGCGTGTCTAATGGGATGTATCAACAGTACAAAAAAATTAAACAATTTAAAAAACGAAAACGTTTTTCGTGCTGTGCGACTGCATACAGAGTTGACAGATCAAGGCCGCTCAGGATTCCTAGAGGTTACACCGAGGGAACTAATTTTTCGCACGGGATCTAACCAACGTGTTACATGGGCTCTACAGCATCTGCGTAGATACGGACTCAATGGCGATATTTTTTCATTTGAGGCCGGCCGTCGTTGTATGTCCGGACCTGGAATTTACACATTTCGATGTCACCGGGCAGAGCAGTTGTACTATTTATTTCAAACTTACATAAATGCTGTATCTTTTGTGACAGATGATGCGTTTACATTTAGCGAACGTGATCATGAATTTGAACATCCTTCACGTACAATAGGCCGTCGAGAAAATGTGCAAAACACAAATAACTATTTAGAACCTGCACCGTTAGTAGGTGGAGCCGCTCAAATGTCGATTTTACATCGTACCAGCGCCGCCAGAGAATCCTTTAGTAGTAGTCCACTAAATCTAGACTCGCCAGACTCCGCCCCAAGTGTATCATTTTCCCCAAATGAAGTAGTACATATACAAAGTCCACACTATCCCTCCGGTCCTGGTACATTTGTTAACACACCGACTACTTCTAATGCATTTGCCAATAGCAATGTTTACTCGAAATATCCACTACGGGACCGAGTTGAACACAACAATAACTTATCAACAGCAACGAATGGTGAACCTAATAATCTGCTACGTAAAAATTTGGTGAAACACTCATCACTTGATATTCCACCAGACGAATTTGCTCCAGTATTGACGCCACAATTTGAAGCAATGCATATGTATGCCAATGTAGAAAGTTGTACACTTTCAGCCAACAATTTTGGGTTTTCAACCTTAGGTTTAAGACGTAATTTAAACCGTGATCAAGAACGTTGTTATGAGAATTTAAATAGAGAAGAATTGAATTTGATGCTCCCTAAACAAAATACACCATCCAATCTTACTGAAGCTGAAGTGTCCATTGATCCTCCGCCGTCTAAACAGGCTACGACAGCAGGAACAAATGCAGTCAATTATATTGTGCTCGATTTAGATCAACCTCGTAGTCCGACGCAATGTTCCCCCAAGTTACTCATAGGTAGTGGACTATCATTAACAACGGCTGATGGCACTGATGGTAGCGTTAAATCTGGTTCTAAAACAGAATCATTTACGGACTCAACACATTATAGTGCAGCATCAGCATCGAATGCCATGAGTATGGCAACAACATCGACAACTAACACGACGAAAACAACGAAACAAAATAGTGAAAGCACTGAGCATTTGCAAATTAAAGAAGAGTCAACGCTCGGTTATTCTACTATAGATTTTATAAAAACCTGCGCACTTATTAAATCATCAACACATGGTGCAGATTTCGATGCAGAACCTGGTAGTGAGGAATGCAGAATCACACGACATAGTAAATGTGTGCGGAAGGCATACTCAATTAGTGAATAGGAAGTTCCGCACTTGTTCAGGTGAAAATAATGAAATACATAAAAAACACATTATTGATAAATTAATTAAATTCTATTCTTAATGTAGAATTTGGAAGGATACGCTTCTTGGATAAAATAAAAGGTAAGATAAGGTGTCAATTATATATAGTGCATCATACGTACATGCAACAAAAAAATGAAATCATTTTGAATGATCAAACGAAGAGTATACAAATTGTTTAAATCTGAAAGATTTATCTATTGAGTTGCATATTATTTTTGTATGGAATTTGTGTCTGCTCATCGATTTGCTTAATTTTTTAATGTACATACAACAGGATTTAGTTTATCTATTTATTTTTACTCATATTCCAATATGATTGCACATGTTCTTCCTTACATAAAGCTTTCTATTAAAGGCTATATTTACATTTACCTACAGTTGCAATAATCTCATATTTTATTTATTTATTTGTATATCATTGCAGTGTACCAGCATTTAGTACAACATAATAGATATAAGAGGCCTGACGTTGTTTTAAACTTCGCTCTGAGATTTTTAATATCCGTATGCCTCCAGACAAAGGATACCGGAGGCAGCAACAGTTCAACTGCAGGAAAAGTTGTTTTCTGAAAAAAAAAATATTTTATATATAACCTGTTTTTGTGTTTTTAAAGCTTTCAAACTACATTTTTAACATATATATGTATGTACGTATATCATGTAATTGTTGTGATTGATTCTTTTTTTATTACATTGTAATATGTACATACATATATAGACACGTACTTGTAATTGTACTATAACGTGCAATACAAAAATATGTTACTAAGCCAAATCTTGTTAAAATTTATTATAATTTAAATTTTTATTTATTGTTTTTTATTTTAAAGACTTAAATATTGTACTTAATTTAATTTTATTTGCCTAAAATGCTATTTTCATTTGTGCAAATATTTTTGATAATTTTAAAGTTACTTATTATTATAGTAGCAAAATGCCAAAGTACTCATAAACTCGTTCATTAAAAATTAAAAAAAAAATATTGATATTTCTGTTATGATATATGTATTTTTATAGCAGTGAGAAATACATTTACAGCAATTATTGAATGTATGTATATGGATATCATTAAATGTAATTAAGGGTGAATTAAAAATAAAGCATAATTTAAATAAAAATCTTATATATTTTTTACAACTGGCATATTTGAGCGGATGGCAATGGTTCACGGGTTCGAGTCTTGATCCGACCGACCACCAAAAACCTTTTATCTTGTTGGAGTGAAATTATACATATACGAAACTCATAAGAATCCATCAAACTAGCTGAATCTCAGTAATACTCTGTCCAAATATATTACAGATCTGACGAAGCGGCGCTATCTTCCTTATGGTCTTATCATAATTCAATAGTTTTATTGAATTTTTGAACATAATTGTAAGAAAATTATAGCTTATTCTGAAAGCGATAGTGGTAATCGATCAATTATGCTCACCCACCTATGTAAAGATACTCTGTGAAGCTAGCAATATATATGTATGTAATGTTATAAATAAATAAATGCATGTACAATACATACAAGCTAGGTATGTATGTTCTTTAACCATAAATCTAGACGTATAAACATTCTCTCATTAATATTTTGACGTTCCGTTGCAATGCTAAATCGACGAATTCGCCTTTATCTTTTTCTTCTATCAGTATGGCGCTTATGCCAATACCAGAAAATATCACGGACGTATTGATATTTAGATTTATTTAACTATCTCCGCATGAGTTTTAATGACGACTCATAAAATAAATAAACATTTACGTTTGTATATTCTTCGGCGGTGTGAAATGCACTACCTATATATAATATATATGTATATATTTTTTCCGTTTTGTACACAAATATATACATTTTTCAGAAATTTGATAACATGCAAAGAAGATTAGGAACAACTTACAGTTTACTCAAAGCCGCATCCGTACGGTTGATGAGTATTTTTTCTCTAAGGAGCTCTCACATCATTGCCAAACTCCGACAGCGTTGAAGTTTTATTCTGTGAGCTTCTCGTTAGACAAAATGAAGCGACAAGTGATCCACCCTCCCACAACTGGGCGCTTTATTTCTACAGGGAAGATGTTTAGGCGATCATCGGGAGGACGAGAGCCGCGAAATCCGCCAGCCCGTCATAATGGAAATGGGTAAGATGGTCCCGTTACTAGGGAGAATCATGCCAGCCAAGATATCTGCTCTCCCCACTAGCGAAGATTATTGAGATATTATTGAGCCGGTCATCATATGAGCTCAGCCGCACTTCAGCATGCCATCCAAAAAATGCACAGCACTACAACTGCACTTAATACCATAATAAACACCCAGATAGTCCATGGCACCAACCAAAACCGGCTCTGCGAACTATGCTATTGGCACTTGGAACCGTTAAATGCTTTGGACACCTTCGGACATTAAGGACTGCTCATTGTCGCAGCGGTTGAAGAGCTGACGACAATCATCGGTAGAATTTCGTGATCAAGCTTTCAAGCTCTCTAAAATTAAACAAGGGGTTCCGTTTGATGTCCCGCTGCATACTTATGTCTATCTTATGTCTAGAAGGTATCTTCGTTCAGAAGGTGAGCTTAAAATCAAAGGTCACTGGGCATTCTCCGGTGCTATTACTTAAGCCTTCCATCACATCAAGGCGATCAAGTAGTGCGTACCTGAAGGTGAGTTAGGTTAGAGTTTTAAAACGATCAATATTCAAAATTTTATAAGATTAATTGAAATAAAAAAGTAAAATTTTTTTTTTGGAAAAATTGTAAGCTATATATATTTGTAGAGTATGTGTTTAAAGGGATTTTGCAAATGGGGAAAATATTTTTCAAATGGCAGCTGCCCGAACACACCTGTCTCATGCACGCTGCGAACTTTCAAAAAACTTTGAACGCATTTTTCTCGAAACCAGGGTTTCCAATCTAACTTCAAGCCCCGGGCTTGATCTATCCGTCCGATATCTTTTATCTAAAAACTGTTTCAAAGTAAATAGTTTTTTGTACGTCTTGAACATAAGATTAGCATTAATAATTTTTTACGTAATTGTAATGAAAAAATAGCCAAAAATTGAACTTTATTATTACAATAAGCATTATGCAATAAATTTATCGCTAAAATTGTTTCAATTGTGGTTCAGAACGTAGAAAATTTCATGATCTTCAAGTAAATGAAACGATTTTGATTTCAGTCTTTTGATTTGAATTTATTTTGAATTTCGACTATTTTTTGACGCTTTAAAATCTTAAATGATAAACAAATTTAGTAGTCAAAACCGGAACCTTTTCAATCCCACCCCCACCCCAAAATAAAAAATAATACAAACTTTGCCTAATTTTTGCCCAGTATCAGGGGAAGGTTCCCCCTAAACCACATATTGGAGCAGGAGGTCGTCCGAAAATCGTCATAGCGGTTACATATATATACAAATATACACGGTGTGTCCTAAAAATTACCGAACTTTATATTTAAATCATACAACATACAGCGCCATCTATTGAAAATTTTCAACATTAAAAAGATACATTCATCCTCTTTCAAACGCACCTAACATCATGTAAGTCGGATGACAGATGTAAAAGTGACAGCCATTTCAATAAAGCCAAAAGTGTGCTAATGGTTCAAAAATAAAATAGAACAAAGAGCAAATATAAAATTTTGTGTCAAACTTGAAAAAAAAAATTTATGAAAAATGTTTATTGTGATGATTGTATGAGTCGTACGTACGTTTATACGTGGTTTACACGATTTAAAAATGGTCGTGAGGATTTATATGACTACCCTAGAGCAGGACGTACAGAAACTAGTAATCGTGCTGAACTGGTGGAAGAAGTCCGTAAAATCATTGGTATCGTTGCAAATTTTACTACAAGAATGTTGGCTGAGGAATTGAATATGAGTAAAAACACTATTTGGCGAATTTTAACTGAAGATTTGGTGAAAAGAAAGGTCTGTGCGCGATTTGTTCGACATGAATTACATGACCACCTCACAGGACCAAAAAATCGCTCGAATTTTTAATGAAAAAAGGGATTTCTCTCATCGACAACCCACCGCATTCACCTGATCTATCACCATGTGACTATTTTTTATTTCCAAAACTGAAAACCAACATGAAGGGAGCATTTTATGATGATATCCCAGCCATTCAAGCAGCCGTAACCGAGGTACTGAAGAACATTTCTATAAATGACATAAAAAAATCTATGCATGCGCTGCTTGATCGTTCCAAACGTTGTGTTGAGTCAAATGGAAGCTATTTTGAATAAATAATAACCTTCAAAGATAATATAATGTGTATTTTATTTTATATCCAAAAAGTTCGGTTATTTTTTGGTACACACCGTGTATATATGCATAATTAGAGATATAAAAAATTACCTTCAGCATTTTACCTTTGCTTATCATCATAAGTCTCATCTAAAGCACGAAACAATAGGCGAAAGATCTGTACATAAACTACATATATTATACATACTATATATATATATATATATATAATATAGTTACATGTTTTTTTTTTTCGGTCAACCAATTTGACCGAATCGCCTCTGATGCCAGATAATAAATGATAAACCATTTCTTTTGATGACGATACTGTCAAAAAGAATCTGAACTACTATTTTAGCACTTTCACTTGTTCCTTGTCTCTTTTATTTACATTTTTTTTTTTTGACAAATAAATAATATTGAAAATTAATAAAATTTCAATTGTAACAATCAATTTGTTATGGAGCGTGAACCTTAAACTTCAAATACAGTTAATATTATCACTTGTATGTGTGCAAATAAGTGCATATATTACATATACCTACATAGATCATAGTCTGTATGCATGTATGTATTTGCACATGTAAATGCATAAACTTGAATACAATGAAAATTTGCTAATCAACATCAATAGTCTGACACCAACACATATGTGGGGCCAATAGACTCTTGAGATGCATTTGCCAGACATTGTTTTACTGTAGCACGATGCGGTTGTTGAACGCAATTTTCCTTAGGGTACTTACAGTACTTTGTGTTTGCGGTAAGTTTTGGAAAACAAAAACAACTAATAATAATAATTTAGTGAAATTAAAAGTTGTAAAATTAAATGCAATCAAGTGTTATATGTGTAATAAGTGTGTTAGCAATGTTTAATTAAAAAAAAAATGATAAATTAAAAAAATATATTACTAATGAGAAGACACACAAAATTGAGTTGATGGTAAAATGTGATCAGCATATGTACGTGTATATATAATAAAATATGATATTATTTAAGTACTCGTCCAAACCTATAAAAGAGTATGTATGTATGTGTAAATGCCGCCTATAGACTCAGATTGTAGTACAATTTTTCACATAGCTTCACTGAAACTCGGTTCCTGTGAAGTTTGGTTATTTTCAAAGAGGTGAGCAGGTAACAATGTTGGAAAAATAAAAGCCCGATAAATCTTATTTATCGTTCGATTTAGTTGAAATTTACTAAACGCGTACTTTTTTCGACCAACAACTACGTGTAATATTATAGAACATTAATTTGTGTAATTACGGTCTTCCTTCGGCAGTTAATGTCAAGCCCTCCGTGTGTATTTCTGATATGAAATAAGAGTTCCTCTTAAAAATTTATCGGCCGTTCGGAGGAGGTTTAAAATAAATTGTAGGTCCCTCCATTTGTTGGAAAACATCGTGAGGTATACCCAAAATTGAGTGAGTAGCTCGGCCGAAAATCGCTTCCGCGGTTACAAACGTTTGTTTGTATGTTTGCTAACTGTGGTTTTGGAAACTATCCGGCAGATTATACTGAAAATTTGTCATTTTGTTTCTTTAGTTCCTCGATGGAATTTTACGAAAGTGAAGCAAGACAGATGTATTCGAAAAAATATTTTTAAGGTTCGATTTACTTGAAGATTGGCACATACAAAGGTTGATTTTTGCTTAGATTAATAGGAAGAGTACGCTTTTCTTCGGAAAATGGACATGACATGACATGCGAGAAATTTGGTAATTTTTGTTGGCGCTCTTGGCTTAACATGAACACTATATTTTTTGCCATGAAGAAGTAATAATAATACGAGGTGTGTTCAGAAAATATCGCGAGTTTTGTGTTTTTTTTTCAAAAATTATTCATTTATTCATGAATATCTATTTTGTCCCCTTCAAAGTAATCACCAACAGATATTATACACTTGTGCCAACGGTTTTTCCAATCTTCGAAGCACTTCAAAAAATCATTCGATGCCGCCTTTATCTCGTCAATCGTAGCGTAACGTCGTCCTATCATGAGCCTCTTCAGTTTAGGGAACAAGAAAAAGTCACAGGGGTTCAGATCTGGGGAATACGGTGGCTGCGGCATAATTAGTGTGTTGTTTTTGGCCAAAAAGTCGCGCACAAGCAACGATGTGTGAGCAGGGGCGTTATCGTAGTGCGAAAGCCAATTTTTGTTCTTCCACAAATCCGGGCGTTTCTGGCGGATTGCTTCGCGCAAATTGCGCATAACTTCCTTATTGACCGTTCTACCCTGTGGTAAGAACTCATGTTGCACTACGCCCCTACAACTAGTTTTTTCGTCTGTTGTTGAAGTGCTCGGGCGTCCGGCACGCTCTTCGTCGTTCACATCTTCTCGGCCTTCTGGGAACATTTTGTACCACCGATAAACGTTGCTTCGGTCCAAGGTAGCTTCTCCTTATGCCACAGTCAACATTCGGAATGCATACGCGCACTTAATTTCGTTTTTCGCACAAAATTTGATACAGGTTCTTTGATCAATTTTTTTGACCCGCGTTTGGTAGAAATATCTGAATATTTGGTGCATTGATTGGCCTTATGCTTACATAATTTGGTCTTTGCACCAGGTTAGTATACTATCTTCACGGCTCTGATATGCATCTCCTTAATAAGTAGGAAAGCTATAATTAAGCCGTTGGTTTGATGAGCTAAAACTCGAGAATTAATTGTTAAACTTCAACTTGAATAATTTGTATCAGTTCAGGGAAAGCTTACACGATTCGAAACATACTGGAACTGTCCTCTTCAAAAAAGTCGTAGTTATGATTCAGATAAGCAGGCATTTTTAAGATGAACGCAAGCACTATTTTTTTCTTTCTGGAAGCGGATTAGAGATCCGGCTCGATTTGCTTGATATTTAGCACGTTGTTAGTTTTTGTCTAGATAAAGATGTGAAAGATTTTTTTTATCAGAAAGGTTATCACAGATCGACAAAAATTAATATGAGGTTAGTATTTCAAAACTAAAGATTGTTTTGAATTCGATAATGCTGTTGCATCCACAACGGTTGCAAGTTTTTATAACAGAGTAGTGAGGTCCAATTGACTTCAGGCTTTCATATTCTTTGTCTGTGATAGTCAAACCGTAGACATTTTATGGACTGTTATACATATGAATTCTTAGCTAGATCAACAATATAATAGCTCTGTTCGGTGAGAAATTTCAGCAAGAATAAGTCAGTAATGAAATGCCGAAGTTGTGCTATCTCGGTGCAAATTTTACTGGCTTTGTGCCTCACCGAACGCGGCTCAGTAAAAATTGGTAACAATTGTTACTGCCCATCAGCTCAACAAACAGGCCTAATATGAAAATCTTAATTAATATAAATTGAACAAAATTCAGAAAGCCACGTGTGGTCAGGTCTCCTAGTATAATATATGTATTAACTGAAATTTGTATATAGTAGTGGACTTGTATGTAAGATGATTTATAGAAATCGCGCGGTTTCTCGTTGAAAAAGGTGTCAAGGTGGTTTTTGACGTCTTCCACATTTTTTTCCATACAAATTGATCTGCAGCGATCGAAACAAATGATAATCAGAAGGTGCAATGTCGGGTGAATATGGGGGATGCGGCATGATTTCCCAATTCATATCCTTCAGTTTGGCCAGGGTCGGTTTTGCAACATGTGGCCTGGCGATTGGCCAAAATCGGACGTTTTTCATCAATTGCTTTCTTCAATTCGACCAATTGCTGACAATACTTGTTGGCAGTGATCGTTTCTCCAGCTGGCAAGAGGTCAAAATAGATCACGCCTCGGATATCCCACCAAATGCACAGCAGTACCTTCATCGGATGCAATCCACCTTTCGACATCGGTTCCGCCCCTTCGTGTGCCTGTTTCCATGTTCTTTTGCGTTGAAAATTGTTGTACAGGATCCATTTTTCAGCACCAGTCACGAGCCGATCCAAAAAAGGTTCGTTTTTATCCGTCGAAGCAAAGAAATTGCTGTTGACATACGGTCCAGCTTGAAAGTGTACCCAACCTTTTTTAAACGACGAAACGCAGTTGATTTTTTGACGCTCAATTCACTGGCAACCTCTTCCGGCGAAATACGTGAGTTATTCGCAACTAAAGTCCTTAGAACATCGTCATCAAGCTCAGAAGGCCGTCGACTGCGAGGTTGATCTTCGAGGTTAAAATCTCCAGAACGATATTTCGCGAACCATTTCTTTACTGTGCGGAGTGCTGGAGCACGGTCCAATTAAACTTCGCGAATATCTTTAGTTGCAGCGCCTACTGTTTTTCCTTTGCGAAATTCGTATAACATAATATGACGCATATGATCTTTTTCGTTGTCCATCTTCCATGCGTCTTTTCACTAAGCAACTCAAATCAAAATGAAGTTATTTTATGCTGTATTTACAGTTCGGACTGTTAGCTTTCCAACGATATATAATATGTATATATTTCTTTCACGAGCGCCCCTCTCAAACGACTCGAACGGTATCCAGCGGAATCGGGCACGAACTTATGCACTCATCCAATATAAGGACATTGTTTATGAGTTTTTCATACACTTCTAAGAAGGCACTCATATGCTTCAGGTATACCTGAACAGTTTGCCCTTATGGGTAGCCTTGCGTAGTGCTGCCCACCAGACAATGACTCCGCTGAAAAATATGAGTTTAAGCCGCTTTCTAAAGGCAGTATACTATATGTGGTCTTAGTCCTCATCTTTCATCGATTGTATGCGTTTCCAACAAATATCAGCGTGCATTCACTCTCCCGATCACTTTGCCATAGCTGAAAAAATTACAAATAAAGTTTTTTTTTGAGACATGTGGCTTTCAAGAAGAAATAAAACGTATATAATTTATTGTTATTTTCAAGAATTTAGCTTCATTATAAAGCTAAGAGTTGCCATTATGTTTTAAAAAATATTTCGTAGCCGAGAAGACCAATTTTCCACCTTTGCCAGTAATTGAGGCCATATATCAGCAATGATGAGTCCAATCGACCACGTTAGACGTAATGAAGAGAGAGAGAAGGGGGTCATAGAAGGGCCATCAGCCGAGTAGTTAGCAGTACGTACCAACATCCGGATGACCAAGGTTCAAGTTCTGCAACCACAATTGTGGAAAATTAGGTTTTCTCGGCGGGAAATGTAAAGTTTTCGGCGTGCATTTTTGACATGCAATAGAAAGCTCTTCATAAAAGGCCGGCCGTTTGGAGGTGGCTTAAAATAAACTAGTCATCCTTCCATTTGTCGGAACAACATCAACACTCGCACCACAAAGCGAAGATGGAGCCCCGCCCAAAATCGCTTTAGCGGTTACAAAGCGCTAATTATATCAGTACTAGATATATAATATATGTGGGCGGCCGCGGTAGCCAAATGGTTAGCATTGCGTACTGCAATTCGGAAGGCTCGCGTTCAAATTATGGTATCGTACTAACATTCAAAAAGTTATAGAAATTTAATTTAAATAAAAAATTAAGTTATATTTTCCAATTGCGGTCGCTCCTCGGTAGGGAATGTTAATCCACTCCGAAAGCCACAAATTGGAGGAGGATCTCGGCCGAAAATTGCTTCAGCGGTTACAAAGCGCCAATTATATATACATATATATATGTACATATTTTTTTGTATACACAATGTGATGGAACAAAAAACAGAACATTCTCTTGAAATGTTGGCGAACATCAACAAAAAAGAGCTTGTCCGCCGAATTGAATAATTGGTTGAGGCTAACAGATATTTTGATCATGGTTTTGGGTAATTATTTACTTAATTATACAATTTGTTTAATTTAATTTTTTTTGTTTTTGGTTTTTTTTTTTAACTTTTTTTGAAAATAATAACACATATATGCTCCCGCGTATGCACATACACGGTGTGTCCTAAAAATAATCGAACTTTATATAATATTTAAATCATTCAACATACAGCGCCATCTATTGAAAATTTTCAACATTAAAAAGATACATTCATCCTCTTTCAAACGCACCTAACATCATGTAAGTCGGATGACAGATGTAAAAGTGACAGCCATTTCAATAAAGCCAAAAGTGTGCTAATGGTTCAAAAATAAAATGGAACAAAGAGCAAATATAAAATTTTGTGTCAAACTTGAAAAAATTAATGAAAAAAGTTTATTGTGATGATTGTATGAGTCGTACGCAAGTTTATACGTGGTTTACACGATTTAAAAATGGTCGTGAGGATTTAAATGACGACCCTAGAGCAGGACGTCCAGAAACTAGTAATCGAGCTGAACTGGAGGAAAAAGTCCGTGAAATCATTGGTATCGATGCAAAATTTCACTATGAGAATGTTGGCTGAGGAATTGAATACGAGTAAAAACACTATTTGAAGAATTTTAACTAAAGATTCGGGGAAGAGAAAGGTCTGTGCGCGATTTGTTCCACATGAATTAAATAACGACCAAAAAATCGCCCGAATTTTTAATGAAAAAAGGTATTTCTCTCTTCGATAATCCTCCGTATTCGCCTGATCTATCACCATGTGACTATTTTTTATTTCCAAAGCTGAAAACCAATATGAAGGGAGCATTTTATGATGATATCCCTGCCATGCAAGCAGCCGTAACCGAGGTACGAAAGAACATTTCTATAAATGACATAAAAAAATCTATGCATGCGCTGCTTGATCGTTCCAAACGTTGTGTTGAGTCAAATGGAAGCTATTTTGAATAAATAATCACTTTCAAAGATAATATAATGTGTATTTTATTTTATATCCAAAAAGTTCGGTTATTTTTGGAACACACCGTGTATGTAGTTATTTCTCTTTTTAACACCCTAAACAATGAACCGTGCAGAGATCTCGATTCAAAGGCGAAAAAAATTGTTTTGACGATTTCAAGGGATCGACAACTGCACGGACCGCAGTGCCTGAACAAACGAAGAATTTATCCGACTCAACTCTATGCTTTGAAGTATCGGTTGAATATAGTTGTCTCCAGAAAGTGACAGGTATTAATTTTAGTGGAAAAAGGCATAGAGTAATAGCTTATGAGGTAGTAAATATGGTAAGAGCAACTAACAAGTTAAAAAAAAATTTCGTAACCTCGATACAATAACCAATTAATTTTTTTTTTCAGACAGTTCGAACAAACTAACGGTTTTAAAATTTTTTAATTTGTCTTTTTAAATGGTACATATGTTTCATACACACTTTCTTTCTTTTGCAGAACGATCAGTCGCCACAGTACCTGACCTACGTAATGTTGTAGCCCCAACGAACGTACAAGAGAAGGCTGTACGCGAATTAATAATACGTACAATTGGCGAAGATGCCTCGAGAAGTTTTGCTGTTCATGTGGATAATACGATGCCTTTGAAGAGTTTTAACGTGAGTTTTACTTACGAGTGGTTATCATTGCGTACTGCAATTCGGAAGACTCGGGTTGAAAACCTGTTGTCGTACTAAGCTCCAAAAATTTTTAGAAAATTAATTTAATTAAAATATGAAGCTAAATTTTCTAAATGCGGTCGCTCCTCGTCAGGGAATATCAACCCCTCCGAGTGTGTTTCTGATATGAAATAAAGGCTCCTCATAAAATAACTACCAGTCCTTCGGACGCGGCCTAGAATAAATTGTAGATCCCACCATTTAATGGGAAAACCACAAATTGGAGGAAGAGCTCGGCCGAAAATCGCTTAAACGGTTACAAAGCGCCAATTATAATATATATATATACTTCACGAACAGAACGAAGTAGTAAGGCAGACAAAGAAAAACCTGGCTAGTAGATCTTCTAAAAAATATTCACTGGTGTGATTCTGAAACGCATACAGTTTTATGTTATTTCCAAGAATTTAACACATTTGGTGCCGTATGTCAACAATAACGTTCCGAACATTCTTTGGCTCGGAATTATTTGCGTGGACAAGCGACTTGACATAACCCCACCAAAAATAGGCTAGCAGTGCTAAATCGTATGAACTCAAAAGCCAAGCCACAGGTCCACAAAGCGAGATCTTTCAATAAATCGATTATTTCGTTAGCTGTTTGGCACATAGCGTCGTCTTGTCGGAACCAAAGGTCGTCCACATCAACTTTCTCCCATAAAAGCACAAAAAAAGGTATTAATCACGTCTCTATAGCGTTCCCAATTGACTGTAACATTTTGGCCGAGCTCAACTTTTAAGAAATGCTTCCCTCTTCCCATAAAACACACCAAACAGTGACTGCTTTGAGGATGTGTTGAGATAATGGTTTGTGGAATATTATCCCTCGAAATGCGGCAATTTTGTATATTAAGGTGCTCGCGGAACAAAATTTTCTTGAGAGAATCGAAGTCAGTGGTCATTCACTGAATGTTCTACGCGCTTGTTGCCCATTCGGCTTCAATTCTTGACCGAATCGGGGCTTATAAGTACGCAAACCAAAATCTTCCATAAAGTGGATGCGCATAGCTTCAATTGTTGGGCGCGATGATAGACGACGTCATTTGGGTCCACAACAGCAATGACGTCTTCGGTGGGCTTTGTACGGCATCTCTGAGGATGCGTATTATCCACTATAATAAAGGTGTTGTGAGACCGATCCATGGTTGATCTAATTATCGACTCTATTGAGCGATTGTTGATTTTGTCGACCGATTATTAGACACGACACACGATGCATTATTTGACAAGCATATACGATTTTCCGCTGAATTCAAGGTGTTCTTTTAGATGTTTCTTCAACAAATAGAGAAACCTACAATTTTAAGCCTCTTACCAAAGCCTCTAAAAAACGGTTAAATGTTTTTTGAGGTCCTTACTCAGATGAATGACCCCCTGCGTAGGAGGACACTCTACTACCCACCTACCCTCTCCAACCCTAATTAAAAAATCGAAGTATTTAATATCCAAAGTTCTTGTTACCTTTTAATTGGCCCACATAGTCGATGAAGTGGTTTTCGGCTGGGCTCCGAGACGATTTTAGATGTGCGACTTGCCGTTTTTTTCCGAAAAAGGGAAGAAGCTTTTCTAAAGCCTTCAGAAGTTTTGATCGATTTTTTGGGAAGCTCTTTTCTGCTTTTGTTGTTGCAAAAATATTCTGAAAATTGGTTTTCAGAGAATATTGCGGGAGTGACAATCCCTGCTGAATTAAAATCGTGGTCGTTCCAATATAAGCACTATTGAGTTTTAGTCAGCCAAGTCAGTCTGATCCTTAACGCAGGCTGGAGGTCCTCCTCTTCCACTGCTTCCCCCAGCGGATCATGCATCGAATACTTTCAAAACTGAAATGCTGTCATTCATTCAGAGGGCTTGATCTATACAGCACAATCACTGTCTCTGTACTCATAACCTGTGGTATTCGCAATTGTCAATGACCTGCCATAGTTCCTATATATAGAGTCGAGTATAAAGGAGCTCTTTAATATTTTCTGCTTTCATCCATTCATTTCAGATTGAAAAAACCTCTCCAACAACAATAACTTTAAAAGGATCTGATGGCGTTTCAGTAGCGAAAGGTTTTCATCATTACCTTAAGTATTATTTACATAAGCACATAGAATGGACCAACACGAGGGTTGTGTTGGAGTCACCTCTTCAATTGCCGAATGTGTCTATTTTCTCTAAATCGGCAAGTGATTTTATTTATTACCAAAACGTTTGTACGTGGAGTTACAGTTTTGCATGGTGGAATTTCGCCACTTGGCGACGCCACATTGACTGGATGGCTATGATGGGTGTGAGCTTAACTATAGCACCAATCCAGGAGTATATTTGGAATGAAGTTTACGTCAGTTTGGGCCTGACGAAGAGTGAAATTGATGAGCATTTTGCAGGTGCAGCTTTTCAAGCTTGGTAAGTATAATAATCTATACAAAAAATATACTAATCTAACCCTACGGAGGACCAGGTGTTGGGTAACGATGGAAGCTACAAGAGTTTAACTAGCTACCATACTAAGGCATTAATCGAGTCTGTCCCACGAGGCAGCTCGAACTTTTCGTTTGCAATGGAGATAATGCTGGAAGGTTTTGACTGATAAAGAAAGCGTTTTGATACTGCCGATAACTTGGTGCATTCAGCGGTAGCGAAAGATGATTTTGGAGTCTCTGACGGTAATCTGTGTAGCTCAGTATGCGGTAGCGAAAGATGATTTTGCAGTCTCTGACGGTAATCTGTGTAGCTCAGTATGCCCTTTCCGTTGCGTTAATATTGGTAGTGGTGCCTCAAGCAAGTTTCTGTAGACATAATCTTTGTGGTAACATCCTCGCAGATCCTCTATGTAGAGCCTATTGATTTTCTGACACAGGAAAGTTTATGTCGGTCTTTAGCCATAAAGGCTTTTTGCATATGATTCCATGAGCTCACTACCACTATTATGCCAAGTACCCTCTGATCTTCTTAGAAAGCAAAGTTTATGCAGTTGCTGGTAGAATATGGTGGGTCCACCATATAAAAAACCGCAAAACCACATATTGGACTAGGATTTCGGCCGAAAATCACTTTAACGGTTACAAAGCGCCAATTATATATACAAAGTCGTAGCAAAAACGACATGGGTCTAGAAATAGACCTGTCTCCCATATAACACAACTTTTATTTTTTTTCTATTTTTGAACTTTAGATAGAATATTTGGTAATGAGGGTTAGTTCCAACATCTGACAAGAAATACTACCAATAGCTCGCAGTTAAACCAATTACCGATATAATTGGACTTAAGTCCGTCTGCGAAGGTCAGCTTGGGCTCTAAGGGCATGGTTTCATCCCTGGTCTGACTAACATCCAAAATTAAATTGTAGAAATTTACTTATTTTATTTTTTTTAATTCGATCGCTCCTCGGCAGGGAATGTCCAGCCCACCGAATCTATTTCTGACATAAAATAAAAGCTCTTCATAAAAATTCATTGGCCATTCGGAGACGGCTTAGAATAAACTATAGGTCCCTCATACACACCACAAACTGGAGCAGGAGCTCGGTCGAAAATCGCTTCAGCGGTTACAAAGCACCGGAATGACCCGGATATTTAACCGGCCAAGGAATGTCACTCCCGCAACATTCCCCAAAAATTACTTTGATTAATATTTTTACGGTTACAACAACAATAACAATCAATTGTTTATAGCGAAAAAAATTGGCTTTACTTAAGGGTTATGTTAGTCAGAGTGGGATTCAAAGATCCGCTAAAAATACTCAACTAAGTATACAAACAACCCTAAATGCTATAACACCGGAATTAAGGCCTTCTGTGAAAGTCAGACAAGCGGAACTTAGTTTTCCTTATGTGTAAACTATAAATTTCTTAATGACTTCTTCTTCTCTTTCACAGGCAACGAATGGGAAATATGCATGGCTGGGGTGGACCGATAACACCAACATATAGACGTTTACAAAAAGTCTTACAACAACGTATTTTGAAAGCGGAACGTGATCTTGGTATGCGTGTAGCTTTACCGGCCTTTGCTGGTCACTTACCAGTAGCTATGACACGGATTTTCCCCAACACCACCTTTACACCGGTAGACCGTTGGAACCGATTCCCCGACAGATATTGTTGCACTGTTTTCCTCGACCCAACTGAGCCGCTGTTCCAAGAAATTGCTGTGAAATTTCTTAAATTGACCATTGAAATCTATGGCAGCGATAATATATACTTCTGTGATCCATATAACGAAGTATCACCACGTGAGAGAACGGTTGATTATTTGCGTGCTACCTCGTACCACATTTACGAGTCCATGCGTTCGGTGGACAATTCCGCCATTTGGATGCTGCAAGATTGGCTATTTCAAAGGCTTGACCTTTGGACGAGGGAATTGACCAAAGCATTCTTAACTGGCGTGCCAGTTGGCAAATTGCTAGTACTGGACTTACAAAGTGAGGAATTTCCGCAATATGAACAAACACACTTTTTCTATGGCCAACCATTTATATGGTGTATGTTGCACAATTTCGGTGGCACGCTTGGCATGCATGGCTCCGTTGATATTGTTAATACACGAATTCGTACAGCGAGAAATATGGTTAACACCACAATGGTTGGCGTGGGCACCACACCAGAGGGCATTAATCAGAATTATGCCATGTACGAACTTGTTTTGGAGCGAGGCTGGGCGCAGGACGACTTCAATGTGAGTGCTTGGTTTGATACGTACGCCGATGTACGTTATGGTGTACGCGATGAACGTTTGCGTAAAGTTTGGCAACTGCTGCGCGAATCTGTGTTCTCCTATAGTGGTTTTGTGAAAATTCGAGGTAGATATCCCATCACAAAGAGGCCATCCCCAAACCTCTATCCATGGACTTGGTATAATACAACAATCGTTTACGAGGCATGGAAACTATTTTTAACAGCGCTGGAAGACACTAAAATACCCGAACCTAACCTGCAGTTTAGCACACATGACGTGGTCGACTTGACGCGTCAATTCATACAACAAACATTCGATAAGCTATATGTGAACTTGATGGCTGCCTATAGAGATAAACAAATGGAGCGTTTCGTTTATATTGCAGAACGCCTGTTGGAGATCCTCAATGATCTCGAAGCAATATTGTCCACCAATATGGATTTCTCAATAAGTCCATGGCTGGAGTCTGCTAGATCATTGGGACGTACACCCGCAGAGAAACAGCTTTTCGAAATGAATGCACGCAATCAAATAACTTCTTGGGGGCCGACTGGTCAAATTCATGACTATGCCACAAAACAATGGTCGGGCATTGTTATCGATTATTACCGTCCCCGTTGGGAACTCTTCTTACAAATGCTCCTTAGAAGCTTGCAACGCAATGAAAAGTTCGATGAGAACGAATTTAATCAGAGAGTCAGCAGGGAGATCGAAAATCCTTTCAGCATTCTGCGTAAAGTCTACCCCTCGGAACCGGTTGGAGACAGCTTTACTATTGCGAAATACATTTACAATAAATGGACCGCATATCAGGAGAGTTTACGTTACAAAGAATATTGTGCTGTTCCCGTAAGCACTGATTATGTAAATAAATAAAGAAAAATATCTCGTTCGTGTTATTTTTATGAGTTCAAAAGGCTGGTGGAGAAAGGAGAAGTTCACATATATTTAATAACAAGGAATTTGTGTAGAACGGCACATAACCATGGACTTATTAGTGTAAGTGAGATGAGGCATTCGCCAGAAGCGCTCTTGTATCGTCAGAATAACCGACTTTGGGCTGAGATCAGATTTCAGACCGCTAGTATTACTATTGCAGTAACATTGCTTGTTAGTTAAGCAATTTGTTCTGGCCATGACTTGTATAGACCTGCTGGTCGTTAATGCCAGTTGGAGGTTTAGTTTAGCTCGAGCTATCCTATAAGACGAAACAACGCCGATTGCGAAGTTTAGGAGAGCCTTATGTGATACTTCATCTTTTCTTTTGGGTTTCTAAGACGAGTTCTAGATAAGGCCAGACAGAAGCAGTGATGTTCTGATGCCTGTCAAAGTTTGGCGACTAATATCCAATAGTACCTGCGAACTTATGTAACGAAATGAACTGGATTTTTACCCGGTCATTGACATTCCACAATATTTCGCTAAAACCAATTTTAAGATATATTTTTGCAATTACTACAACAACAACAATAAGTAGATGCCAACTTTTGGTGAAGGAAACTTCACAATGCAAAAATTAAACAGTGAACTACTCTGCGGAACGACTCATCATAAATTTTAGAATAAAGCAGAGGTGTTGTTGTTGTTGTTGTAGCGGTTCGCTAACCCCGCTTAGGCACAGATTTGATCAGTCTAAGTCGCCGAGGTCATCTAGTGCTGGGTCCAGGAAACGAGCTGTTCGACGGGGTTGGACCCGAGGGAGAGGGTGGTTAGATGAGTTGGTTTGAGAGGGCATGTGAAGAGGTGGTTAGTGTCGTGCGGAGACTCTCCACACGCAGGGCATACGTTGGGTATGCTGGCGTCTAGTCTGGATAAGTAGGAGTTTAACCTGCTACAGTATCCAGACCTGAGTTGTGTCAGGGTCACGCGGGTCTCTCGAGACAGCTCGAGCTCGTTGTCTGCTATAGGTATTTCTCCGAGTACGCCATTCACTGGAAGGGAGTTCTTGAAGACGTTGACTGACTCCTGGTGAATGGCGTTCAGTGCTTATCGGTACGCCGTCTTGTCCAGCGGTTGTTGTACGTGTTGCGGTCCTGAGGGCGGTGTTCTGGCAAGCCTGTAACTTCTTCATCTGCGTCTCGTTCGTGTCCGGCGCCCAGATCGGTGCAGCATAGTTTACGACAAGCCGGCCAATACCCCTGCGGGTTAGGGGCTCAAGAATTTACCCGCGGTAAGGCATGCCTGTCGTAAGAGGCGACTAAAATCCAATAGTTCCCGCGACAGTCGGGTCTATATACCGGAACGACCCGGATTTTTATCCGGCCAAGGACTGTCACTCCCGCAATATTCCCCAAAAATTTTGCGGTTACAACAACAACAACACCGGCCGACCAATTGCTTTATAAGTAGCCAGCAAAGTTTCCTTGTTTTTACCCCAGGGGCTGCCGGCTAGCGCTTTGAGTATTTTGTTGCGGCTCTGGAGTTTCACGGCAATTGCGGTCGTACGCGGAATGAAGGAGTGCAGGCTGTCTAGGGTTACTCCCAATATTTTTGGGTTATTTACTGTCGGAGTTTTTGTGTCATCGACCTTCACATCTACTTCAAGCCTGTACTCCTTCGTCCAGCTGGTGAAGAGGGTAGCCGAGGATTTCGTCGGTTGTATTTTTAGCTGTCTTGCAGTGAAGAAGTGGGAGAGCTCAGCGAGGTAGTCGTTCACTTTCGAACAGAGGTCATCAATATTATTTTGTCGCTAAGTACTTTATTTTCGCTTTAGTCTTCCTCAATACTATCTGAACTTCTACTCTGAAATGAAATCAAATGGTGTGGTGGTGTTTCACATGTTTTACATCTCTTGCTCAGTCTCGCCTACTAAGGAGTGCATTTCGCTGACACAAATAGAGCACTTAACATCATTAGCTTTTGGAAAAATTACTGAAATTATGATTTCTAACAAACTTAAGCATAAAATAAATATATTTACTTTCAATACTCGTACATATATATATACAAAAAACGATAAGTTGAAAGAAAAACGTTGTCGTCTTTCGGTGGTTAACAACACCGGCTTTATTTATTATAACCAAATGTTTGAACCCACCCAATACGCATTTAAAAAGCAAAACATACACATTTTCAAGCTTTAATAATAAATTAGACATTAATAAAACAAGTAATGATAAGAACATTCAGTTTTAGTTGTGAAATTAATTTCAAAGGTTTATTCCGTTCTATAATTGCTTAGTTCAAATGGTAAAATAGTAGCAATCGTAATTTGTTTACTATTGTATTTATGTCATCTCATCACGCTCTTTGCAAATGAATATATATATTTATATATATATATAGGTCTCATAACGCATAACGCATAATTCTCACAATATTTCGTTAAGTTTGATTTATACTTTATTTATTTTTGTTTTTGTATTCTGCTTTACCAACAAATTACAATACAGTACAGTACATATCAAAAATGTTATGCATTTCAAAAACTTTTCTGTCTGCAACTGTTTAATGCATATACAAATGTACGTATGTATGTATGTATGTATGTATTTGTTGGTATAATTCATTTTCACTCACATACGCTTACAATCATTTGTGATTAATATAACAATTAACGCATTTTGCTCATTTTCTTTTATTTAGTTTGCATTTGTATCTCATTCATTATTTTTCTTTAATGTACAAACTATTTCTAAATTTAATAAAGAAACGCAATCATTCGCTTTGTTGGTTATATTAAATAGTCTAATAATATTTATATAGATTTATGATGTTGGATTTCTTAAACATTCATACTTCGACGACAAAGATTCATTTCAAACATAACTTTAGAATTATTCAATTTTTCTCATACGGATATTAAATATAAAAAGATGTATTTGAATAATATAATTGTGTGTGTTCTTTTTACTTGTTTCTTGTGTGTTTTTTTTTATTTTTTTATTTTATTTTTATTTTATGAAAAATCAAAACATTCGCTCTGCACTCATTACTACTTTCAACTGTTGATGTTATGTTTAATGTTTAGTGTTTATTTTTTGTTTTTATTCATCCTGCATATCTTCCGGCAACTCGTGCGGATTCAACATGCCCGGTATATTACGCTGCATTAGACGCTTGTTAGCTTGTTCTTCACGTAGTACTGCCTCCCTTTCTTCTAAGTATAGATCGGAGTCGTCTTCACCAGTGATTTCCTAAATACACAAAATATTATTTATTTAAATATAATTTAAGGAAAAGCACAAATGTTTCGATATATAAACTTAACATCGACCCAATTACAATATATAATATAACCGCTGAAGCGATTTTTCTACTAATTAATATTATTTTAATAATAAAAATCTGAAAATATCTATTAAATATGTCTTCTTTTCACTAGTTTCTAGTTGTACACTCACCCTAATTTGTATAAGGAAATCTCTCAAATGCTCTTTAAATGCTTGCACATTTTCGTCCAGATTGAAAAGGCCTGTTACAAAGACCTTTATCTGATTATCTGTTAAGTGATTGAAAGCGGATTTCAGCAATGAGGCCACATACTCCTGTATGAAAATAGTGTTGTCCGGTATTGGCCCGAGACTCACGGTTATTTTGTTATTCTCCACCAATGAGAACATATATGCTAATATTGTGGCGTGATTGGCGAGGCCTGCTGTGTGCGAAGTATCAGTGACAACGGAGAATATTTGCATTAAAATATCAGTGAAATATGTCTGATAGAAACTTTGCGCTGCCTGTGGATGTTGTTCCAAGTTTTGTAACATCTGTAAATGAAAAAAAAAAAAAAAAAAAATAATGCAACATTATTTTTTCCCATTTGAAAATGAAATTTAAAATTTATTATACTTTATATAGGATGTTCAATCCCATGTCGGCTACATTACGCATTGTGTGCTTAAACGCCCATACAACGGAATCAAATACAAGTCTAAATTGTGCTGGTGGAATATTGAGAAATGCTTTAAAGCAATGCGCATTGACGGCTTGCAAAAGCTCATAAAAGCTGGTGCGATGCTGAGGAAAATCTTCGAAATTCTTATTGATCATATCGAGGGTGCACTCAAAGACGGAATCGAATATTTTTGGTACTTCGTTTGTGATGTGATTGCGTAGTTTGTGCACAATAACGGCCATTGAACTAAGCACTTTTGGCTCTCTGGCAGATGCCACTTTGCAACGCTGTAAAGGAAATTTGTTTATTGTAATAATAAAAGAAAATATAAAAATACAGTTATGGGTATTTCATAGCAGAAATTAAATATTTTTTGTTTACCTGGTAATCTAATAGAACTGCATCGAGTAGTGGTGGAATAAAGTTATCCATAACCAATTGATTGTCATTTGAACGCGATACCCATTCCGAAATAAGATTAAGAGTCTCTTTTTTTACAACGTTCATTGCTTTTATAAGCGGTTGGTTATTTACAACAACACCGTTAACTTCAATCGCTTGTATAATATTCTCCGATGTTATTTTATAGACATTAAGCATATCCAAATAAATACGTCCCAACTGAATCACGTAGGCATGCCCTAAGGCCTTACAGGCAGCTACATTCGTCTTCAAAATGCTACCCAACTGCTTGACAGCTGTCATATTTTTTAGGAAATCAACATTCTTCGAGGCACGTGAGATTATATCATCCCAAACCTGATTCGGCAAGAACATATATTTCTCAATTAAGGCGTCCTGCTGTACTTGATCCACCTGTGCTGATATCATGTAGCCAACAGCTTCGTAGAACGTATGCACCTAATGACGAAAACATTTATGTTATGTATGTACATATATGCCTAACAAAATAAATTATCACTATATACATACATATGTACATATATGTGTATATGTATATATATCTGTATTATCTTTAATCACTACATACCTGCTGTGGCTGTAAGTCACAAATGATGCTACTCATGGTGCTTAATATTTCATCGATGAAGGTACATGCCTCATTGGGCTGTATGGTCACAAAGTAGCGTCTACATTTGATGGCAATTTTAATGAATGTATCGCAAGCCATATCTTGTACGCCATCATGTGTTTCGTGCATAAATTCGAAAAGTTTATTCACAACAGTTTTCAGAAATTTCCAATGTGCACGAAGAAAACGTGGATACTGTCCGACAACATACATTATATTCGAAGCGATAATAGCCTTATTATCTTTACCCTTTTTTTGTTCGCATAAACCAAGTAGATCCTTTATGACTGTAACTAGGAAACGTTTTTCGTCTTCCTCGCAGAAAGCACCTACACAAAAAAAATATATTATTGAGTATTGATTTTTTGTTTAACTTTAGAGTGTAATTGTAATTTACAATTCCCATACAAAATACATACACGCAAGTGTATGTGTATTTTAAAATGAAAATAATTTTTGTTGTCGTTTATGTGTGCAAAAATATGATTTTTGTTGTTTTTTATGCTGCTCGTATTAAAAAAAAAAAAAATAAAAAATTAGAACACATTTAATCCAATTATCTGCAAAAAACTAATATTTCACAAACATGAACAAATATGGAAGTTAAATTCGGCTGAAGCCTCGTGTCAGATTAATTCAAATATTTTTGATCAATTCATTGAAGTTTCAATATGTTCTTTTCGTCATAAACTAAGTAGAGCAAGTGATGTGAAACTCCGCAGGTCACAAAAAATACAAAAAGAAAAATAAAGAAGAAAAGAAGTCTCCTTTCAAACTGGTATTTTGATCTTTTATCAAAATCTCGTTCGATTGTATAATTTTAAAAATTAGTTTTGTCAATATTATTATTAAAACTCTTCACGCTCTAACATCAAATAGCAATAACAAACTTTGACAATCAGCCAGACAGTTTCAAATAATTTATATTAAATTTTAAAACATGTTTCTTAAAAGTGAAAGGTAATATAGATTTCTATCGAAAAATTAAAAAAATAGATTTCTCAAAATATATACAAAAATATATATTTAACAAAAACAATTTACAAACATACCTGATATTGAGCCAATAGCCCAACAAAGCGTATTGAGATTTTTCCATGAGAACTCAGTACCATTAACTTGATTCATTAATTTAAGTGTCATTATACGTTCTGTATCGGTATAATCCAAGTGAGTCAGAAATACAAGTGTCTCCCTCATATTTTTATACAAATTGATGGCGTTGGTATCTTTCATAAATTCACGTACCACTTCTCCATTTTCGTTTTCGACAACAAGTACCTCCTCCGGTTTTGCCATTCTTGAAATCATGATGTAGCGAACTTTCGATAAGATATTGGCATAAAAGCGGCGTCGGGGAAAAGCATTACGTTTGGCCAAAGTTAATGCTTCGGTGTGACTAAGAACAGTTGTGGCACCTACAAATGTTTCGCTGTTGTAGAGATCCTCAACAAGATTATTCCAATACTCCAAACATATTTTGAAAACTTCAACATCCTCAACTTCAGATATCATTACCAAATAGAGTAATGCTTGATTCAAATAGTCGATATATTTAACATCTTCTACAAGTTTTCCATGCTCCTTCAGGAATGTGCATAAAAACATTGCCAAATTCTGAACAAATACCTGCTCGGTGCTACTACCATTAGCATAAATATGACTCATGTTGGGATTCTGTCCAATCATCTGATCCAACTGAACCATTGTATCCTTGAACAATCTGGCGAAATTTTCATTATAATCGGGCACTGTAAGGCCAGCAATCTCAGATAGGCACTGCAGCGTAATATTTCTAAACATTGGGACACTTAAAAATTTAAAAATAAGTGTCTCAATCAACGCTGTCTCAAATATATAGCCCAGTGGTATCCAACTAAGGAATCTTAGTAAAGTTTCCAAAGTAACTTGAATTAGAGGCGCATTCATAGAACTTTCCAAAACAAAAGAACAAAGTTGAAAAATTTGGGCAAATTCTGAGCACATTGTATCCTTCAAATGCTTAGCTTTAGTTTGAGTTATTTGTCCAGAGGAGAAGTCAAAAACCTCTTCACTAAGGTTTTTCAATATAACCATATTGTTTTTGCATAGGCTCTCGTTTGTCTTCGAAGCGCCCACAATGTCGCTGATAAAAGTTTCCCAATTACGAGGCCATTCTCGTTTTAATATCTGCACCAATATTAGATTCAACTTATTCAAGTAAACTTTATTTGCCTCCATTGTCTCGGGATCTGAGGAGGTTTTTATTATAAGCCCAACAACATATTTCTTAATACCTTCGCACTGGTTGCGAGGTAAAATTTTCCAGCGTGTTTTAATAACTTCTTCAAGAATTTGCAGTGCATAAAATTTAGTTCTCTGATTTTGAGAGAATTCTAAAATGCTGTCGACACGCGTCCATGCATCTGGGTGCTCACGTAACGTGGTGAGAATATCTTGCGCCAAACGTAGCTGCTCCCCCTGCGACGTATACAAACATTCTACAATCTTGTCCAGTAAACTTATGTCAAGCTTCTGAGAAAAGTCCAACAATTTGCTGGCTTCCTCCGTCGAAAGCATCGCCATTGCCTTGTAGTAAAAGCAGCGCTCCCGTCTGCGTCTATCGCTGATATTGGGATTAATTTTGTTGAAGACGGCAATTCAATGCTTTTATTGTATTTTTATGTATATGTGCTAATATATGCTATTCACTGGTGCACTCTGAAAGTTAAAAAATTTGTTTTTTTTTTTTAAATATATAAAATATTGTACTATCCTTTATGTACGTATAAAATTTCTACAGCTTGTAATAGACTCCATTACTTCATGCAACTCCACATTTTGTCAATTGCGTCGCATGCGAGTCTCCACATTCTTTGAAGTCTTTTAAAGGACTAATATTTCGTAAACTATGCTAATTTATCTATGTATTTTCTATTTAAAACATATTTTTTAAATATTTTAATATCATTTACACACCATACATACTTTTTCGGCCAATAATATTAAGTTTTCAGGAAAATGTGCGTGTCCCGCAAAATACATCCATCTCATACATTCTTCTTCTTCTTTGCTTTATGTATCGCACTTACCAAGTAGCAGCCGTCGTTATAGCGCTCGCCTCGAATTTAATTAAAAATGCGAAAGAGAAAAGGCAAACTAATGGGCGATCTATGTACTTAACAAACGACGTAACTTTTAATTCAATCTTTCATTCAAACTTTCAACTGAACTCACAAAGCTCTTTCACACTCACAATTTATAAAATTTTACAAAATATTTGCAATTTTTCTATTAAAAAAATCGCTGATGACCGCAAAACGAAACTCACACAAATCCTCAGACTTCGAAAAACTTCGCTTTCGTCGTTCTACTTTGATGGTAAATTCGTATTTCAACATAATACCAAAAATAACGCGTCCCAGGGTTGCATGAGTTAGCATTAATTTGACCAAACATGTTATTTCACCACTCAAGCAATATTCGTTTTCAAGCAAGTATTGAGAAGATATATCGATACCTCAACCATTTTATTTTTGCTCGCCAAAGATATAGTTTTGGGATTGAAATTAGTTAGTAAGAATGACCTCGTTACATCGGCAATATGAAGTTAAGGTTACCAAATAACACATCACATACACAGAACAGTTTGCTTACGAGTAACCGGCTCTAAAAGTTGTACATAAAAGCATCACACTGGCAAAGTTTGTAATGGCCATGCGCGAAAAATGTTTCAAAAAGAAAATGGTAAGTCAGAGAGTAATCGACAACAGAGCGAAAGTTTGTTGTTCAGTTCTAATAATACAGAATTTGGCAGCGTTGTATAAATTTAGCTGTAAATTTAATGAAACCTTTTTTTTTGCGATATGGGTTAAAACGAATTATTAATTGAAGTTGCAAAAGAATTGATTAACTATTAACAAATCTCAAATAAATCCGGGAAGCAAGTGTCAACCTAGTCGTTACATTTGACGTATATTCGTAAAATGTTACACAATGGCTATGATCATTTCAAAAAAATTTCATTTGAATCGAACAGTTTTATTATGACATTTCTTATATGTAATTTTTAAATGAAAAAGAGATTTGATTGAAGTGAAAGGAACATAGACAGGTCATAGATTAACGTGTTTTGTTAAGCAAAATATGACTTATTATGTCACACAGAATTTAAAAAAACTGGTGCTTTTACATTTGTGTCTGAATTCGCCGTGCTTGCAAACGTCCAGTCCTCACGCGCTTAAAAATATAATAAATGTTCTATATTTCGTAACAAGCAAGGCAGTATTTCCTAGGCACATGACAATTGATGGCATACGTTTTTTTCTAAAACGCCGCAAAACATAGAAGTTTAATTCTTGCGGGCTCTTAAATGCTGGAAAATTAGATATTTTGCCAAGGAAAAAAAATTAAAGGCATTTAATTAATTTAACCCGCAAGAAGTGAAAATGTCAAATTTATTATTGGGAGCTCCAAGGATATACAATGTACCTCTAACAATCCTGCGCAGACGCTAATCAGATAATCACATATCTAGTCTGGACCATGAGTAGGTCGTTTCCATTCCAAAAAATAAACACTTTTGACGTATCACCTCACTGATCACTTGAGAATTGCATTCTGGCACAGATGCATGCAAAAATTCTAATGGCAAGAAGCAATTCGCCAGCGCCTAAAGTTATGCAAGGGTTTACGCTCCTCGCTTAAACCCAATTCCTCTCGTCTTTGACAGATTTGTTAAATAATAATATATAAAACGGCTTAATGAATATTTAAAATCAATTAATAAATTATTTATTAAACACAATTTGGAATCTATGTAGCTTAGTTCTGGTCAGTCCACCTTTTGCTTGGCTATTAAATAGCGCTTAAACCAACCCCTCTTGGCCGAGCTACACGGTTCATTCATGATCCATAGCTTAAAACAAATATTTCGCTTTATATTTCACCATTATTTACGTATATTACATTTCCTACTGGTCTCTCTTTATATTGCAAATGGCTTAGTAATCTGGTAACTTCAGTAATATAGTTCTTAATTTTTACTTGTTGCACTTTTAAGCAATGTCTATTTATATCCTTTGTTTAACAACAAATGGAGGTTTACCTGTTTTTACCCGCAAAAAAGGGGATTGTGATAATGTATGTAATTTAAAGCATTACTTTAAACCATTCAACTACTAAAGTCATAATTTGTTCACTCATTCTAGTTGCCTTTTTCCACTGTGGCTTCATTAAATGGTTTTCATATGTTTTTTAAATCATTAGGAATAACATTACAAGTAACATATTCCGAAGATTGGACTTATGTTTGGAGAGATTTTCATAATGCCGTAACGTTGATCGTTTGTGCCCGATCAATGACGGAAGAGATGCTACAGACACTGGCAGAAATTGTTTTCGGTGCAATCTCACTCTTTGTTAACATTAATGAGCTTGTAGACCTCACCTTGTTGGATCGAATGAAGAAGGAGGCAAGAAATTACATGCCTGTAGTAGATGCTGCACTGGAAGCCTGTACATCGCGGATATTAGGGTTTACCAATTGTATATTGTCAACTGAGAACCAACAACTGGCCCAGCGGCTAAACGATTTTAGTGGGCTTTGCGGTTCGCTCTTTTGTTGTCTTGTAGTTGGTAATAGTGTCTCGGTTGGTACTGAGGGTTGGTGGGATTTAGATCCCATTGATCGGGAATTACTACTACTTCTACTAAATTCATCGAGTACTTTACAAAATGACATACCCGTATATTTACCCAAAAAAGATGCAACGGTGAGAAAATATTTGATCGTATAATCTGAATTTTTATTGTTTTCATTGAACTCTCACATCAGCTAGCGTATCGGTTTGTGACAATTCCATTAACTCCAAGTAGTATAATTTGTGTTATATGTGGAGCAGGACCAAGTTATCGAGATTTACGGGCCATGACATTGGATGTATTTTGTGCAGAAAATCTCTTACAAAACGTGGAAAAAAGTATAACACGCAATTTACCAGAACAAGTGGAAATTGATCAATGTGTCTTGGCCATAATTGTTGCTAATATGAAGGCAAGGAAATGCATTTTTACTCATAATTCCAACCAAAGCTCTGGAGGGAAAAGAGCCTTAAGTGGAGGCCTTCAACGTATTGATTTAATAAAGAAACTTTTTGATCAAACTGTACAATATAATAAAAATCTCAATGGCGATTGTAAAGATGTAAAGCAGTGTTCTAATTATATAGAACCATTGGACCAATATTGGTGTTTGGATTACCATAAATGCTATGCTCATTACGATCAGATGGGAAATGCTATATTTATTCTTTTTATATCTTCAATACCAACGCCTGCGATGAGGTATATATTTTATCTTTTTTCTAATTTCAATATTGTTTCTCAAAATTACCAGGTAGTTGGACTGTAGGTGAGGTTATGTCTAACGATTATATAATATTTATAGCGATTTAATGTAATTTCGAAACATAAATTTGTTATTCTAGCAAAACATTTAAATAACGGTCTACATTGGCAATTTTGAGATGCAGTATTTTTGATGATATGAATAACAAACGATATAAAAAAAAACTTTGTTTTCCAGATTTATTGCGCAAAAACTTTTATACTCAATTTTACAAGACAAGACCATCAGTTGGTAATTTAGTCATCATTTTAATAATATATATTTCATAGAATATTTCACATTAATATTTGTATAACGTATATATGTGTGTGCATGTACTATTTATACTAAAATTATTGTCTGAGAATATACACATTAGCTATATATTATAAAGTAATTACAGTTTCATACATGGATTTCACAATTTAATTATATGTAATATTTTTGGATAATTTATTGTCGGTGTTCTTTAATTACATATTTAATATGAATGTAAAATTATGAATATTTTTTATATTAAAATACATACACAGTATAATTTTTTATATATATTTAAATTAACTAATAAAGAAAAAATATTTTCTTTATCATATGCCGTATACAAGACATAAACGATGGGAGTAATATTTTTTGTACGAAAGTAACTGAAGTTGTGCTTTGAGCGTGTTTTAATGTACTAATAATTATAAGCAGTTATTCGAAACATGCATTGTTTCTATTTAGTAATTTTTATATCATGATTATAACAAGGCTACCATTATATTGAGTTAATAATAATTGAAATTTGGCAAGATTTGAGCGATTAATAACTAACAAATACAACGAAAGAGGAGAAAAAATTGGCGAAAAATGCGCGCCAAACTTTAGAGGCTATTGCTTTCTTCAGATAATTAAATGAAAATATTTTAAAAATCCTATGTCTTCTCCCAAACGCTGCGTTTAAATCACAATGGATAATATGGAAGGTCCTCCAAAATATGATACTGAAGTCTTTAAAAACTCGCCGTTAAAATATACATGCTCGGATAGAAAGGGCTTTTTAATGGAAAAATATACCAAAACATATAAGTAAAAAGTACAAAACGCGTTTTACAACGCAGCAAGCAAGGGATGAGAGAGCTTCTTTAAACAGTGCATGAACAAAAAAAACAAAAAAACAACAACAACAATATGTCGATTCGCATACACATGTACAATCACATGAAAAACAAACCAATACATTTAAGCCACAATAACAACGCCGGGCTCCAAGGGATTATACAAAATACGGTTGAAGTGGAAAGAACGCTGATAAATCGCATTTATTGTCTGGCTACGCGGCGCCGGCAGAACCACAACTGTAGGTATGACAGTTTTTGTTTATAATTACTCATACAAATTAACATTCAATTGCTATGTTGCAATCGCAACATTAGTTCAAATAAGAAAAACTATTTTTCTGGCGTCCAATGTGGACTTCGGAATTTGGAATTCGCGGGAACAAATGATGTTAGCCAAAAATAATAAACAATCGACAAACAAAACGGAACGGAAAAATCGGGCACAAGACATAACTAACTACCATAGATATCACAGATATCGGCACAACAAATTCTGATTTAAATGTACGAAATCGTTTTACTTATACAAGCCTCCATACAAGCAATAGATATACACATAAAATGTACATATGTACAAAACTATTTTTTGTATAAAAAATATTTGAAATTTTTGGTATGAAAATAGTATGAAAAATTGCAGCGCTTGAGATTATTATACTATATATTAGTAGCACTAATTAGATTGTTCTATACGATTCAAGACAAATGGAAGGTTATTACATCATAAATTTGAAACTTAAAAAATGTTTTGAAATTTAGTATGAGACTAAAAAAATATTAAACTTCAAGGTATATACATAGCCTTTTTTGCGGCAATTTTTCACTTTCAATTTTTGGTTTAATATTACATTATGTAGTTTTAACAGCAATTCAGATAGCTTGTTTTACATCTTTCGTTCATTGTGTATTAGATATTTTAATATATCTTAAAAATTTAGATAGTAATTAAATATACAATAATAAGTTATACATAAAAGCCGGCCTAAGATAAATATATTATTTTTAAATAATGGGATTTTAACTCGGAACGTTAAAAAAAACGCGATTAAATAATAAATTCTTTATACTGATACATATTTTTGTGCTTTCGCCGTTCAATACTCGAATTTATGCTTCTGAAAATGAGTAGTATGTCATAGCTACTATGTATGTAAGTAAATAAAATATTTTAATTATAAAAATAGCACTTCACAGCACAAAATCTAGACAATTCAAAGCATATGCACGAGAATTTATACACTTTTTATATTTGGTTATTACGCCCCTTTAATTTACGACAACAGTTTAGGTATATATATTGATATACTCTTTCAGCTTCCACAAAGATTCATTTAAAAATGTTTTTACTTTTTAGTCTTAAAACTAATTTACTAATTAATACCAGGATTGAGAATTTGGTCTAAACTTGCGTAAGTGCCAAAGAAAAAGCCACATAAGCCAAATAGCAAAATTGCAATATCTTTCCATAACACCCAATTATACTTGCCCAAACCGATGGGATAGAATGTGATTATTTCAATAATTGGTGGTGCGATGAGCGCCAATGCAGAGCTACTTACAGCGCCCACCAATGAGATTATTGGGCCCAAATTAGGTATGCAAACAGCTAGCAAAACTGAGAAAATAAAATATAAAGATTTTAATTGAATTTTTTACTTGTGTTTTTTTTTATCTATCTACACCACTCGATACTTACACGTGAATACAACCAATGTAACCCGAAGTGCAGTTGAGGCTAATTCTTTTGTGCGTTGCTCTTCGCATTGATTGCGGACAAAAGGTTCAACAATATTGACAGGCACATAGAATTGTAGAGTATATGACAGAAAAATTGCCACGGCCATGGCTATTCGCACCATTTGGGAAATGCTGCAAAAGTAAAGTTTGATGTAAGAAGATTAAATATTTAAATTAATATGTATTTAATTTAAAAATAAAAAGTAAAATCAATTTACAATGCATTAAATTTATTTATATAATATAAATATAATATAAATGTTTTAATTTTTTTTTGCTTAATTTAATATTAGTAATATCTCTAAAAGGTGTTAACTCACAATTGGTCAGGTGGCAGATTTAGTGTAATACTGCCTTTTACATTTTCTCCATATTTCAAATAGCCAAAAAAGCCAACAGTCGTATACAAACATGCCACAATAGTCATTCCAGTATTCAGTACACCCGTTGAACCACCAAAATCTTCAGGTCTTTTCATATTATTTTCCAATGGCAAAATAACACCAATTCCTTCAAAGGCATATATAGCTGTACCAAAATACAATGGTAACTGTGCCCAAGTCGCTACCGGCTTAACAGTGTTCGTAGCAGGTAAATCTTGTAAAATATAGAAAAACGAGAAAGCCAATCCTAATATGGTAAGCACTGCTGCGGCTAAGGATACCGGTGTTAAGTATTTGAGATTACGCACAAGATTTAATGGTATCATTGGCAGCAAAATAAGTGTTAGATAGACTTTAACGCTTATATAATTATGTGGAAAATAGTGATCAACCACTTCTTTGATATTAAATGCCACAAATACAAAATAAACACAACAAAAACCCATTTGGGTTATGAACAGGAATGTCGTTATCATACGTCTGAAAGATTAAAACATATAATTAAAATTATATACGCTAAATACACAGTGTGCACTTTGTTCTTACCGCGCAACGTGTGAATAGCGTCGCAAGCCGCTGGGCCCTGTTTCAAACGAACAAAACGCAACCTCCGAAAAACTGAGAGATGGTTGCTGTAGCCTTCGACAAAGTTCGTGTGAACATTTCACCAACATATGCATACAATGCGTACAAATTGCGCCCATAAGAAGTGTGCCGAATAGTCCCACATATAAACCAGCATTTTTGAACGCATCTGGCATAGCTAAGATGCCCGTACCGATGTTACCCTTTAGTAAATGCACTAAAGTGTCGAAATTCGATGTCGGATGTTCCAACGTGCGGTGCAAAGATGGATTGTATGTAGACTTTTCTAAACTCTCATTCGAACCTGCTGCAATCGAAATAATTAGATTAAAACTGAGATGAAATTTTTTTAAATTTAACATACTTCCATAACTGTCATCACTTTGCACATTCACTAATATATTTTCAGGCGAGCTCCTAACATCTGGTCGGGGTAGTTGTCTATCTTCCGATCCAGTTGCTTCAGACTGTAGCAAGAGAGGTTGACGTTCGGTCATTTTCTTCTTAACAATTGGCTATGAAAATATGTTAAATGGTTTGGAAATGAAATAGACTAATTATTGTGATTCAAACCAAAAATGATGAGGATATAAGCATTGGTTATACACAGACTTTGTATTCAATTATATTCTAATCTTGGTGCCATTTTGCCAATTAAAGAAGTTAACCTGGTTTGCTAAAACGTATGGCCGTGAACAGTAGATAACTTGCGTTTAGGAATTTTGTATTAAAAGTGTTCTTTAAGCAAGAGATAATTAAAAATTGCTATTTGCGGACTAGAAAATGTTTAACTTGTTAACTAATTTCTGTTATCTGTTATATTTTTACTTAGAAATGATTTAGCATATCAAGAGAATTATTTTTAATAATCATATTATGATAAATTTGTGTGTTTACTTTATTTAACGAAAATTATTATGATGTCATGTATGTATGAATGTACATATGCAGATAATCAATTGACACAGATGCATATGTACAGAATTTTATCACTGCAATGATTCTGTGCTGTTGACAAAAATTGATGCTTAATTAAACTTTTGAAAGAAATTATATTGCATTTAATATAATTCTTGCGTATAAATAAAAACATATGCATATGTATATACCAATGCAAGCTGTTGGATAAGGTGTATCTATCATGGGTGTAGGTGATGTAGTACTCATTTGTACTTATACATGATACATAAGCCCTTATACGTTTTTTTTTATTAATATATAAGAAATATTCAATTTACAGGAATAACTATTATGTGATATATAAAAAAATTAAAATTAAAACTTACATCAATGATTTAGTAAAAAATCGTAACGAATAACGATGAAATTATGTATTTAAAACTGTAAATAAAATAATAATAATTAAAAAACGAAAGATAAATCGATGCGAACACTGATTAAATAAATTATGCGAACCTGTTGAAGATTTGTTAAAGGAGTAATATCTTCCATCGATTCCTTTCTTATTATTTCTTATGTATAGCAAATATTGTACTGAAATTCGTTTTGTGCAGGTACGCGCAGTCCAACAGTGGCAAATCACTTTACTATATTATTTGCAACGTCTTACTTTTGACATAACAAGGGAAGTTGAGATCGATGACTAAATGTAAAATAGTGTCTGGCACTGATACTATTACAAAAGTGGAAAATTTCTCCTTGATACGGACCTCATTCGACGAAATAGTGTTGATGTTCCTTATCTACAGCCAACCGAAGAAATTCCAAACTTTGCTCTTGACTTATATTTACATATGTTTGCGACAATATGTTTATATGACTACATACAATATTTACACTGATTGTTGTCATTAAATGCAACTCCCACAATTAATCACAAATAAATTACAAATAAACACAAAAGATTATCAGTGCTTCCAAGTCATATGCATATATAAATTACTTAAGCTACGCATTGTTCTAATCAGATTAAAACTTTACGTATTTTTCCACTAAGTTTTATGGTTTACCATAAAGTCATGGCTGTAACCATAGACGCAAATATAACGACATCTTAATGTTATCGGTTATTGGCATAAAAATAAACAAACAATTGATATCTTTATTCGTAATTTAATTATCAATCCGAAAATTGACAACAAAGTTAATGAAATTCTTCCTGGAGTACCTCTTTCCAACGGAGTGCTCTTCCTCTTTTTCCACTAACAAAGAACTTATATATATATATACGTATATTAATATACTAGAAGTACTGCATCGAAACTATTTAAAGATGTAGTTTTCTCATCCATCAAGATCACATGACTTAGCTAGTGTAGGTAGTTTCTAGATTTGCTGAACTTTGTCGTGATATTCACCGTTACAAAAGCGTAGATATAAATTTAAAGCAAACAAGACAGCTGTGATGGGTCCATCTAATTAATGTTAACTCCTCATCGAGCAGTTCAGTTTTTCCCTCTCCTAGCCATGAAGTTAATTACGGAGTTGTGCAAAATTCGAAATGCTTGCAAAAATTATTCAAATGCTAAATAAAAATTTTAAAAATAAAACTGAAAATATTTGTGGTGCTGCTCGAATTGTTTTTTCTTTTAAATACCAAGTAGGTATATTTAAGTAGTTGAACATTAAACGAGTATCAAGCGATCATCAAATTATAATATTGAAATCATTACTATCACCATCACTATTCTGTTCCCGTAAAAACCAGCCCCATAATCCGAAGCAATACAGATCTTCCGCACCGTTTTCCGTAACGTTTGACTTTGACACCAACGCAACTCCAAAAGTTGTACAACACTCGTTTTTTGTTGACCATGAATACTTAATTTTCCGCTAATTCTACAAATTTGAACTGGAAAACTTTAAGCCAAATTTAATTATTAATTGATGCCCATTTTTGTAAGTTTGAAAACGCCATGCTTTTGCAAAAATTTTCAATATGAAAACAAGTACAAAATCGCAAAATTCCAGTTGCAGTGACGTTTTCTGCAGTATTTCCTGCCATGTCATATTTAATATAATGTATACTGTAGACACATACTAACACTAACCGACATAGATAGCAAATTGCCATCTCTAACTATCAATTTTTCTACGTGTCTTTTATTTTACTGCGAGGAATATTTTACTTGCAAATAAATAAGAATTTACGATGTCTGGAATTAAAAACGTGGTGCAGAAATTCTCCAACGATTATGTCGAAAACACTCCGAAAAAGTTGAAAATCGTGGATATTTATTTATCATATGTTTTTCTTACCGGCGTCATCCAGTTCGTGTATTGTTGTTTGGTCGGCACCTTCCCTTTCAACTCATTCCTATCGGGCTTTATAAGTACAATTAGCTGTTTTGTATTGGGCGTTTGTCTACGGCTACAAGTGAATCCTCAAAACAAGGCAGTGTTTGTGGGCATATCGCCAGAGCGTGGTTTTGCTGACTTCATATTTGCCCATGTTATATTACATTTGGTAGTTATGAATTTTATTGGATAAAAATGTAAATCTAGAATGTAACTGTTTTTGAGAAAATATATACTATAAATAAATGATCGAAATATCTATTCAAGTACATTAATTTAGTAGACGTAGATATATATCAAATGGGTCGATTTCGATGTCACAAAACTCCAGGGTTATTTCCGGCTCAGGAATTGTGTGTTTCAGTGGCGGTAGCGGATTTAACCAATGACACAATTCTGGTGATGGTATTTTATTAGTTTTGAATTTATTCGGATTTGCGTTGCATTGTTTTTGGATTAATAATGTATCATTCACATTAATAGGCGTCAAATTTTTAAAAATAACTTCATCAGCATTGAAATTCAGCCTTTGAGTCACCTGCATGAATTAGACAGAGTTTAACTAAGGAATGGTCTCAATAAAATGCTATTTTACCTTAGGTGCAATTATTGCCTTTGAACGAGGTGTTAAATCCAAGTCATTTTTGAATATGGGTGGTTGTATAGATTTCAAACTTTCAATTTGATTTTTTTCGCGTAAAATTGTGTTCATTTGAGGTGTTTTATATTTCTTATCGTTGATGCAGTTATCAACTGTTGCTATTTGTTGCAAACGACTTTTGCTTGAGCTGGACTTGGGAACCTCCTTTATTTCTCCCTTTTTGATGCAATTTATGCTGCTGGATGGCATGCGGTCTTGTTTTTGGCATGCTGGTTTTTGTAGAGTCTTTGAATTTTTAACTACGTTTTTACTTTTGCAGTTAGGCATTTTAAAAAATTTCAAACAATTTACAGCTTTGAAGGTGATTGACTAATATCGATTTTTGTATCGATATAAAATGATTATTTTACACTTACTTTATTATAGAGCGCATACACCTCAGGACGGTTTGTGCCCATTATCTTTCATATGATGTCCGGATTTCAGAGTTCCAACTAGCCTATCGTTGTCCGACGGCTTGCTAGTCATTTTTTGAATTACCAGAAGCTGAATCTTACAAAGTGGCAATAAAAAAATAAAATTTATTCGCCACAGTAACAGTTTTTTTTAGAGAAAAACTTTAAATCGATTGACTCGGGAGGTAAAACTCTAATGTTTTCTTTCCCAAGAAAAACTAATTGCATTTAGTAACAAATTTTCAAATATTATATACATATCTTCTATGGTAGTTGGTGCTAATCCTTATGTAAGAATTTCTTCTTGTATGAAATGAAATATGCTCTGAGTGGTATAAAATATTTATTAATCAATCTCTACCGCTATGAGAAGGAAATCGACGTTATTATTTTAATCGACAGTACAAAATAGATTACAGCTGATTATCCATATATCGTTTTTATGGACAAACGAAATAGTCATCCGTCGGTTTTCTGAGATTGCACCTATATTTACAAAGTTACATTTTTTTAAAGTGACACATTAGTAGGTTAGTTAAAAACGTATTTCGAAGTCCTTTCCCATAAGTTCTATATATTTAATGATAAATATCAGCATTTTTATGTATTTTGTACAATTACTTTCTTATTAGAATTTTCGAATATATTACTTGACACGAATGCACTTTCACTAAAGAAAGTGCAGTTTAAATGTGAACAAAGCACGTGTTGCAATTTATATTATATATTTTAAATGACTAATTTTATGCTTTTAGGTCATCGTAAGTGAGATTTGAAAAGAAACAATGAAAGTCCCAACTGCAAAGGAAATCCGTGATGCCTTCCTGGGCTTCTTCAAAGAAAAGGGCCATCTATATGTTCACTCATCTAGTACTATACCATTGGATGATCCGACTTTGTTATTTGCCAATGCTGGTATGAACCAATTTAAACCGATATTTTTGGGTACAGCTGATCCGAATAGTGAAATGGCTAAATGGGTTCGTACTGCTAATACTCAGAAATGTATACGTGCCGGTGGTAAACACAATGATTTAGATGATGTAGGCAAAGACGTTTATCATCATACATTTTTCGAAATGCTTGGCAATTGGTCATTCGGAGACTATTTTAAAATAGAAATATGCACTTGGGCTTGGGAGTTTCTGACCGAACGTATGAAGCTGCCGAAAGATCGTTTGTATGTTACCTATTTCGGTGGTGATAAAGATGCCGGTCTTGAACCGGATCTTGAATGCAAACAGATTTGGTTGGATCTTGGACTAAGACCGGAACATATTTTACCAGGCAGCATGAAAGACAATTTTTGGGAAATGGGTGAAACTGGTCCATGTGGTCCATGCTCTGAGTTGCATTTTGATAGAATTGGAGGCCGAAGCGTACCCGAACTGGTAAATGTTGATGACCCAGATGTTTTAGAAATTTGGAATTTGGTGTTTATCCAATACAACAGGGAGTCAGATGGTAGTCTCAAACCATTACCTAAGAAGCATATCGATTGTGGAATGGGCTTCGAACGTCTTGTATCTGTCGTACAAAACAAAAGATCCAACTACGATACCGATTTGTTTGTACCGCTATTCAAAGCGATACAGGAAGGTACTGGTGCACCAGAATATCAAGGACGAGTGGGTGCTGATGATGCTGATGGCATTGACATGGCATACCGAGTGTTAGCGGATCATGCTAGAACAATAACCATTGCTCTCGCAGATGGTGGTACTCCCGATAACACTGGTCGAGGCTATGTTCTAAGACGTATTCTTCGACGTGCCGTAAGGTGAGAAGCGACTTGGGCTTTTGAAAAATGAAAGAAATCTTTACTATGTATTTTTATTTGCTTACCAGAAGTGAAAAATTGTAATTATATATTTTTAATTTTAGATATGCAACTGAAAAACTCAACGCAAAACCAGGATTCTTTGGATCACTTGTTCATACGGTTGTGAGTTTATTAGGTGATGCCTTCCCTGAGGTTGCAAAGAATCCTCAGCAAATAATTGATATAATCAACGAGGAGGAAGCACAATTTTTAAAAACTCTATCAAGAGGACGAGATCTCTTCAATCGCACTGTTGCAAAGTTGGGCAATCAAAAAATCATTCCTGGAGACTTGGCATGGAAGCTATATGACACTTATGGTTTTCCAGTTGACTTGACTCAACTAATGGCTGAGGAAAAAAACTTACAAATAAATATGGAAGAATATGAAGAAGCTAAACAAGCTGCGTACATAATGTCCCAGGGAAAGAGTACTGCCAAGGAGGATGCAATCGACATCGGTGTGCATGCAATTTCTGAACTACAAACCAAGTCCATACCAATCACAAATGATACATTTAAGTACAAATATCAAGCTGAATCTGAAAAATTCGATTCTCCTTATAATTTTGGTTCATGCAAAGCGACTATACTTGCATTACGTTTTGGAAACGAATTTGTAAACAAGATAGAAGCTGGCAGTAAAGCTGGCATAATTCTCGATCAAACAAACTTCTATGCAGAAAGTGGAGGTCAAATTTATGATAAAGGCTTTTTTGCAAAATCGAAAAGCTCGGATGAAAAATTCTTCGTCGAAACAGTTTATAACCGCGCCGGATATATCCTGCATGTCGGAGTAGCAGATGGAGAATTTTCTGTAGGAGACGAAATCGAACTTAACATCGATATAGAACGCCGTTGGCTTACCATGAAAAATCATTCCGCAACTCATGCCCTAAATCACAGCCTACTACAAGTACTTGGAAAAGAGACTGACCAAAAAGGATCATTGGTAGTGCCGGATAAGTTACGTTTCGATTTTAGTAGCAAATCTGCTATGACTATTGAACAGGTCGCAAAAGCAGAACAATTAACACGCGATGTTGTTTACAAAAATGTGCCTATATATGCAAAAGAAACGAAGTTGGCAAATGCAAAGAAAATTCGTGGACTTCGCTCAGTTTTCGATGAGGTCTATCCAGATCCTGTGCGTGTAATCTCATTTGGTGTGCCAGTAGAGGAACTTGAAAGTAATATCGATAGTGACGCCGGAGAGAAAACTTCAGTAGAATTCTGTGGCGGTACGCATTTACAAAGATCCGGTCATATGATGGAATTTGTTATTACCAGCGAGGAAGCAATTGCAAAGGGAATACGGCGTATTGTAGCTCTCACTGGTCCTGAAGCAGTAAAGGCTTTGGAGAAATCCAATGAACTTCAAAAACAAATACAGGCATTAAAATCCACAATCGAGGTAGACAAAGATGGTAAAAATTCGAAGAATTATGTCAAGCAAATAGTTGAATTGTCGGAAGAAGTTTCACAAGCTGTCATACCGTATGTGAAGAAAGACGAAATGCGCAACTTACTTAAACAATTGAAAAAGACACTCGACGATAAGGAGCGCACACTTAAGGCAGCTGTTTCTGTGACTGTTATCGAAAAAACCAAGGAGATTTGTCAAGAAAACCCACAAGCAACATTATTGGTTAAACAATTCGAGGCCTTTAACAATACCAAGGCTTTGGACGGTGCCTTGAAGCAAGTGCGCGCACTATGCCCAGAAGCCGCTGCATTATTTTTATCAGTTGACGTCGATACGAAAAAAATATTCTGCTTAGCTTCTGTGCCAAAAAGCGCTGTTGGCAAAGGACTTAAGGCCAATGAATGGGTACAACATTTAAGCGAAATTATTGGAGGAAAAGGTGGCGGAAAGCCTGAATCTGCACAAGCTTCTGGCTCAAATTACGAAAATGCCGATGAGGTCATAAGATTGGCCACAGAATTCGCGAAAACTAAACTCGGTGCTTAATAAAGCTAAGCTGCTAAATCATTCACTAATTAAAATGTGTTCAATTTGAAATTGGCACTTTATTTATTTTACAAATTTAATTTTTTTTTGGCGATTTTTGCATTTAATAAAAATTTGCTTTTATTTTAAATACAGAATAAATGATATTTTAATTTAAATTTATTTTTGAACATTTATTGAGCTATTGTAATTTCCTTCTATTTAATAACCCAGTAATAATTAAATTACATTTATGTATTTTTTTATTCCAAATTCTTCGCTATTAACCAATCAACGGCTTCTGAGAAGTTCTCTACTACAACGGTTGGTGGCGGTGTAATCATTACATCCGCTAAATATTTTCCCGTTTTAACTTGAATCCCTTTAAGGCCCAACTTCATTGCGCCTGCAATATCATCATAAGGATCCTGCAATAATGCATAAAACAAATACATTTATATGTATGTTAAATAACGGTGACGAAGTATTAATATAGAAATACTAGAATGTATACACATACATCTCCTATCATTACGCATTCTTCTGAGCATATGCCTTCCGGTATGGCATTTCGGAAAAAGTATTCATTTGGTTTTCCTATTAGCACCGAATTCGTAGAAGTGGCGTATTCTAGTCCTTTAATAAAAGCTCCAGGGCCTAATGCTAGACCATCGTTTCGCTTGTAGTATTTTCCTTGATGTATAGCCACCAATCGATTATTCTTGTTGGACATGAGTAACCTGTATGTAGATAAAACCAACTTAAGAAAATCAAAATTTTTTTCGGTAATTATTTAGGACAGCGGCTTTTACTAAAACTTTCCAACTGTATGTTTTTTCGATATAAACTTACTTGAAAGCCTTGTTTAAATTTTCATAGTAAAATTCACTTGGAGCCAATCCAACTACTACTGAGTCTAGTGGCCTGTCGTCAATCGGAGCGCTAAAGTCCTTACGTGCATCTTCACTAACCAAATACAACGGGTTAAGTTTCTCTTTCTCCACATACTTTGCTGCGGCACTCAGTGAACTATATATTTCATCTGCTTGAAGTTCAAAGCCGATTTTTGTTAGACGATTATGTAGTGTTTTCCTTGACTCCTTTGTAGTATTCGTTACAAATTTGATGTGTATATTGGTGTCTCGCAATCTGGCGTTTAAAGAGTTGATTATTTTCTTCTTGCAGTATTTTGTAATTTTATGTAGATATGTACCTTTTTAATGCTTCTACAGCGCTTGGAGTCGGCTCATCTTCAATATGCAAAGTGCCACTTAGATCAATAAGAGCTGCCTTTATGGACATTCTTAAATTATTTTGGGTAAACAACCGTTTGTAAATACCACCACTCACTGTTACGGCACACATAATAACCGATAACAGATGGGGGCAAAGAAGATATGTACGTGTGTACGTAAGTCTGATTCAGCTGTGATTATCAAAGTGGTACATGTGTGTTTCATAAATTCCGATTTTTTTTTAAATTATTCAATAACAAAAATGTTTTTGGTGCGACTTCTGCCGGTACTTCGGAAAACAAGTGTAAATTTTCCAGTTGAAAGCTATACAAAATTGATAGTTAAACGTAAAACACATACCTTACCAAAAGCTTTACGATCTACAAAATCTAAATCCACTAGAAAAGAGGTAGGTTTTGTATCGTAATATATGTATCTTCATTTTTATCTGCTTCTTAAATTTTTATTCTTTAAGCCCATTTACTTCGTAGATTCAAAACAAGTTCACGTTATCGGCGGCAAGGGAGGTGATGGCTGTATTTCATTTCTACAACTTTGGTGCAATGAGAGAGCCGGTCCTGATGGAGGTGATGGTGGGAATGGAGGTCATGTAATTTTTCAAGCTACCGGGGATGTAAGCAATTTCAATCATATCCTTAGCTTAATACGAGGCATGACTGGAGAAAACGGACGTAGTGATAATTGCCATGGAAAGAATGCGCAACATACTATTGTAAAAGTACCTGTAGGGACCATCGTGCGGAACAAAGAGGGTAAAGTAGTTGGGGATTTGAATGATGCGAACATAATGTTTGTTGCTGCTCGTGGCGGTGTGGGTGGAAAAGGAAATAAATTTTTTGCAACTGCCGTACAAAAGAGTCCTAAAATATGTGAATACGGTCCTGAGGGTGAAGATGCTACATATATGTTGGAACTGCGAACTATGGCTGATATTGGATTTATTGGTTTTCCCAACGCCGGTAAAAGTACATTGTTAAATGCAATTACGCGTGCTAAGCCAAAAGTGGCTCCTTACGCATTTACTACCTTACGTCCTTATATTGGAATGGTACAATATGATGACTTTACTCAATTGGCGGTCGCCGACCTGCCTGGATTAATACCGGACTCGCACTTAAATAAAGGTCTTGGAATACAATTTCTCAAACATGCAGAGAGATGCAAGGTATTACTTATTGTACTGGATGTTAGTTTGAATGAACCATTAAAGCATTATGAGCAATTATTGCATGAACTAAGTCAATTTAGTGCAAACTTAGCGGAAAGGCCTAAAATAGTGGTTGCAAATAAAATGGACTTACCGGAAGCTAAAGATAATTTGCAGGAACTACAAAGTAAACTTAATTTAAAAGTAATACCCATTAGTGCGAAAAGCGGCACAAATCTTTCCGAGCTCCTCTCAGTAATGCGTGAATATTACGAAATACATAAAAACGAATAACGTTGCTGTGGCAAATTAAAGTTTATTGTTATTTTTTCATTCAGTCCTTTTTATTTAAAAGAATTAAGAGCTTAGTCATATACATATGCAGATTAAAAATATAATTGTTTGAAAATTGTGTACGAAAATGGTTTATTTTACATGTCGTCATCAGCAGTAGGCAACCAAAAAGACATATTTGTACAAGCTGAAGCAAGCATCATGTACTTGGGGTTGAATTGAACACACTGTACAGGTCCGGGATGATCTCCATTTAAAACGCACACTTTACAACCTGTATCTGCATTCCATATGTGCACACGGCCATCGGTACTTCCAGAGAAAATATATTGGGAATCTGGACTGAAACTTGCCTCTATTGGAATACCTTTGTTGTTAGGGTAACCAGTGAATGTTTGTAATGGTGTGCCATGAAAAGCGTCGACTAATCGTATTATGGAACCGTTTGTGCTAATCAGTATAATTTTTCCATCTCTTGAAAACTTCAATCCAGTCCAGTCGCATTCTTTCTCTTGATATAATTTAAATGTTACGAACGGTCCTTTATCGAAAGAACGTAAATCATATAATTTGATACTTTCTGAATTGACACCGGCAGCAAATATTAGGCCTTCGGGATCGTATGCTGCGACAGGGCGACCTGGTAAATTCATTAGCCCTTGGCAATTAGGTGAACGCAAATCCCATAAGCGTAGTGTCTTATCCAATGAGCCTGATAGAAAAGTGTCCTCTACTGGTGAAATACATAACGAAATTACTTTTTTAGTATGACCAGGAAAGTAACGCAGATATTTATTATCATGCAGACTCAGGTAACGTATATTATCATCCACTTTTGTTGAGCTATGTATGGCAGTATTGTTAGCATGTGTGAAGCGAATCAGATCCACGCCATATTTTTTGGAATTAACTGTTCGGGACTGTGTTCCTTTTTCACAATCGTAAATGACAATTTGATCATCCTCACTGCATGAAATTAAATGTTCACCATTTGGAGAAAAATCTATTGCATTTATTTTATCGGTATTCTCACGAAAAACTTTTGCCACTTTAAAACTTTTTACAACGGGATCAATTAACTTCATTTTCATATTGTCAGCTTTCTTTTTTAAACAGTTTCGAGAAGTAAACAAATATAAGCACAAAAGTTGACAAAATAACTGTGTGTAGTGATTGCACGAGTAACGGATCGGTTAATTGCAGACAAACTTATCGATAAATCAGAAATCATTTGATTATCGATTGTCGCATCGACATTAGTTGTCGAAACTTTAAGAATGTTGTGGAGACTTCGACAAAGATCTTATTTGAATTCGTATATAAAGAGAGCCAAACATAAACTTAGACACGTCATATGTTTACTTTCAAACCCTTCTAACTTTAGAACGACTCAACCAATTCTCGGAATAATATGAGTTCTATTACATAACTGAAAGCTTGCTTATTTTAACGAAAAAATCTAAGAAAGAAATTTTGGAATCTATGGCTTTTGTTTATTTTCGATATTAAATAATCATAGTAAATTACACCTTTTCAACGCGATTTTTTATTTAAATTAGAGCAGAATACTCAACTCTAATACTTTCCGTGAATTCGTCTTGGATGTAACATACCGAAAACCAACTCTGTGAATTCCCTTAATAATAAAAATATATCGATATACCATTTGTTTACTATTTAATATCTCCAACTCATTTGCCGGTTTGTTTTGGCCTGTTTACCTTTTAAAACGTAAAAAGTACAAGTGTTAAATGCATTTAATACGATATTATTCCACAAAAATTAAAGATTTGCATCCTCATAGCACTATAAAAATTTTCCGACGGGATGGATCTTTGCCCAAAACGAAAAATAAAACTAAATTAATTCAACCAGCTGTCACCAATAACAAAATTGATGTAACAAATGAAACTACAACTGCTCAATCAGAAATAAATAATGATTTTGCCGAAAATGTGGTCAAGGTACAAATGATTTCACGGAACTTACACGAGCAAATTTTCAAGTCAACCAAAAACCCAAAAAATGAGGAAACAGAGAATTACATTGCTGCATTGAAAAAGCATGGCATTGATGTAACCAGTACGGACAGGTTAGAAGATGTAAATATGATACTGCCAAAGCTGCATGGCAAAAATATTGAAGAACACTTTTATACTATTGCCAAAGAGCAAGTGGCTCCTTACGAGCGCTTGCTAAATATTTTAGTAACTTGTAAAAAATTACCCAAACGTCCCGAAAAATGGATTTTCAAGAGTGGTTGGACTATATATGATCCGGTTACAGGTGAGGGTAAATCTGTTAATGTGCCTATAGACGATGCTTTAATTTTTGACGTCGAAGTATGTGTAACAGAAGGTGCCGCACCAACTTTAGCCACTGCGGTTAGTGCAAGCCATTGGTATTCTTGGGTAAGCCCACAACTTACAGCAAAACCCCCAGTGGAATCAATTGAAAAATCATCATTCAGTGCTAAACGTTACTGTTTGAAAGATCTTATACCTTTGGGAACCAATGGCCCAAAAGTAATTGTTGGCCACAATGTATCATATGATAGAGCACGTTTGCGTGAACAATATTTAATTGACGATACCGGGGTACGATTTGTAGATACAATGTCTTTGCATATAAGTGTAAGCGGCATTACAAGTTATCAACGTGCGCTTTTAAAATCACGCAAAGAGACTGATCCTGAAGATGAAGAATGGCAAACACAGAGTTCGCTTAACAGCTTAGTCGATGTTCATCGACTGTATTGTGGAGGAGAAGCACTGACGAAAGAGCCTCGTAACATTTTTCTTGAAGGTAATCTTACTGATGTCAAGGATAATTTTCAAATGCTAATGGGTTATTGCGCTGGTGACGTTGAAGCAACTTTCAATATATTCACTAAACTCTATCCCATGTATTTGGAAAGATTTCCGCATCCAGCTACTCTGGTTGGTATGTTGGAGTTAGGCTCTGCATATTTACCCGTTAATGCTAATTGGCCCCGCTATATAAAGGAGTCGGATTTAGCATACGAAGACCTAAGCATAGAAGCTAAAAACCATTTAACTCGCCGTGCAGATAACGCATGCCGTTTAATGAAGAACGAAGCATATCGAGATCATCTTTGGCTTTGGGATGAAGACTGGAGTACACAAGAAATAAAATTGAAGAAAACTAAACCAGTTAAAAAAACTCCAGTAAATTTAACACACATAGAAAACGGTGATTTGACAGTTAAAAAAACTCCAGTAAATTTAATACACATAGAAAACGGTGATTTGACAGAAAAGGAATTTGAATTACAAAAAAAATTCCAATATTTGTATGACATGAAATCACTTTTGCCCGCACGTCGTCCTCTATTACCTGGTTATCCTGCCTGGTATCGTAAATTGTGTAAGAAGGTCCCGAAGAATTATGATGCACCACAAACAGATTGGGCGCCGGGCGCCACAGAGATTGGTACAGGCATGCAAATAGCGCCTAAATTACTTTCTCTCTGTTGGGAAGGATACCCATTGCATTATATAAGAGAATATGGTTGGGGGTTTCTTGTACCCTTTCGCACGGCACCATATCCGCCAGTAGAATCCAATGATGGTGTAAACCCGTATCGCATACCAATAAGAAAACTTGCCGAACGCTGTCCGGTACCGAAGACTATAGATGTGGAAAGTTTGGAAACGCAAGAGTTCGGTTATGATATGGCTGCTTTTAATAATGAGCTTAATTTTAAACTTGGTAAGAAGGAATATTATAAAAAAGAACCAAAAGATCACACAAATGGTATTTACAAAGGCGCAGGGATTTGGTGTAAACAAATTTTAGAAGGTTGTTGTTTTTTCCTAAAATTGCCACACAAAAATGGTAGCTCCTTTCGTGTGGGTAATCCTTTGTCGAAAGATTTTCTAAACAAATTCTCTGAAAATGTCTTAAGTAGTGGAGATTCTGCAGAAGGCTCAGCGAAACGTGTTATAGACATTGCGCGCATGATGTCCTATTGGCGTAATAATCGAGATCGAATAATTGGACAAATGGTTGTTTGGTTGAATAAAGATGATTTACCGGAAGAATTGAAAAATAATAGCAATATTAATGACATAACGGAATGCGGCGCTATTTGCCCACAAGTTGTGGCTTGTGGCACATTGACCAGGCGAGCTATGGAGCCAACTTGGATGACAGCTTCTAACTCACAGCGCGAGCGTATAGGTTCCGAGTTGCGTTCGATGGTACAAGCTCCGGCGGGTTATCGCATTGTGGGGGCGGATGTAGATTCACAGGAGTTATGGATCGCCTCTGTACTTGGTGATGCGTATGCGTGTGGCATACACGGTGCAACACCGCTTGGTTGGATGACGATCAGTGGTTCGAAATCAAATGGAACTGACATGCACTCCATAACAGCGAAAGCTGTGGGTATATCTAGGGATCACGCCAAAGTTATCAACTATGCACGAATTTATGGCGCTGGGCAAAATTTTGCTGAAGTTTTGTTGAAACAATTTAATCCAACATTCTCTGAAACTGAAGCGCGCTCAAAAGCACAAAAAATGTTTGCTATTACGAAAGGAAAGCGGGTGTATAATTTACGTGAAGAGTTTTTAGATAATTATGAAAATAGAAGGTAAATATGAACCAGTGTGGAATTTTTGTGTTTCGCAGCTAATATTAAATCCATATATGTATTTTTTACAGTTATTCTGGTTATGAAGCGCTGAAACTGGCTGCATCATGTAATCGCGCTGTCAAAGAAATGTTCCACCACCCTCGATGGGTGGGCGGCACCGAAAGCGCAATGTTTAACCGACTGGAAGAGATTGCAATAAGCGATTGCCCAAAAACACCGTTTTTAAATTGTAGACTTAGTCGAGCCTTAGAAGTAAATGGCGGAGATGAGAATCGATTTCTTCCCACACGCATAAACTGGGTGGTACAAAGTGGCGCAGTGGACTTTTTACATCTGATGTTAGTTTGTATGCGCTGGCTTATGGGTACAAAAGTACGATTCAGTTTAAGTTTTCACGATGAAGTACGTTATTTGGTTAAAGAAGAGTTAGCCTATAAAACGGCTCTAGCTTTACACACAACAAATCTCTTGACACGTTCGTTTTGCTCCTTCCGCCTCGGTCTATCGGATTTACCAATGTCCGTAGCATTCTTTTCATCAGTCGAGGTGGACACCGTCCTCAGAAAAGATAGTACAATGGATTGCAAAACTCCATCCAATCCACATGGACTTCATATTGGCTATGGTATTCCACCCGGTGAAAGTTTAAACATATATGATGCGTTATCAAAAGCCGGCGGCGGTGATCTTAGAAAATGGGAGTGGATAAAGTGATAAATTACTTTAGCCAAAATAAACTTGTTTTTGTTATAAAACTGTGTATATTTGTTCTTATTAATTGTTGTTTTAGCGGCTCAATAACCTCGCTTCGGAGCAGGCGAGAGTAGTTTAAGTCATGAAGGTCATCTAACGAGAGGTCTAGGAAAAGTGCTGTTTTGAAGGGCTCGTACCATAAGGAAATCAGGGGTTAGATGTGTTGGTTTTAGGGGACATGTAAGGAAAGTTACCATACACAAAGCAAAGCATTTAAGCAAAATAATCAGCAGGGCAATTCTCTATCGTATTATAACGATTTTCGGATCGTTATAATGACTTAACGATAATTTTAACGATTTTGCTATTCTCTAAGCACAGTATAATGATTTTCGGATCGCAAATTAGACTTAGCGATATTTTTAACGATAATCGCTATTCTCTAAAATGGTATAACGATTTTCGGATCGCAAAGAAGACTTAACGATATTTTTAACGATAATCGCTATTCTCTAA